CAGCAGACCGCTAGCCGCCACGTTTCCCTTTTTCAGGCTACCGAACGCACTGAAAAAAAAATCGGTGTATTTACTAAGAAAAGGGTGAAATTACCAAGAATTCAGGGTTCTATTTGATCCGAGTTTTTTCTTGGTAAAATTACCATCTATGGAATCGGTAATTTTATCGAGAAATCTCGGTAAAATCATTGAACTTTCTCGGTCATGTTACTGGACCTTGGTAGAAACGCCAATATTTATTTAAGCGACTGTGGTAGAATTACCGATGTAAAATGGCAAAGTTACCGGGAATTGATCACCAATAAAACTGGTATTCTTACCTGAAAAAACAGTAAAAATACCAGTTTTTAGGTAAGCTTGCCAGTCTGTCTTGGTAAAATTACCAATAATTGGTAAAAAAAGTGAGATGGTAAAGGCACCAACGGACCTTGGTAAAAACACCGAGAATTTTTTTTCAGTGCAGGAAGAAAGAGTAACCGACTTTTGGACCGCGTCACGCAGAAAGGAACCAAGCCATATCAGCTGTTTCCAAATTTAATTGGGCAATTTAATTTTTTGCATGAAAACGGTTGTACGGATTGCAGTGCAGATTTCAGTGAATTTGCTGCATAGTGCGAGGCAAAGTCCTTAAAGTTTTCAAACACTGAAAAAAAACTCCGGCCGTGGAAGCCGTACTTACAAGCTGTATAGACATACCGTCCGTGTTCCGGGCTCAGAGGCCGACAGTTCTGGGCGTAGCACCCGGAGCAATCGAAGCTACAGCTCCAGCACCCGGAACTTTCGGCCTCTGAGCCCGGAACGAACGGTACGTCCATATAGCCCTGACTTTCTTTCAGCGGTGGTATCCGCACAAACGTTCTCTTGAAAAAAAATTAAGTTTCCCAGTAAAAATTTGGCAATAGCAGATGCGGCTTGGTTCCTTCCTGCTAAACTTGGTCCATTTGTGTTAATATGGGAAGTAGGATATAAAATGACACAGACGTGCGGAGACCTTCGATGAACAAAAAATCATTGAGCTAAAGACATTCAGCTGGGATGGGCCCCAAAACGGCCCTTATCGACAGGGGTGCAAAAATATCCCGACCACTAGACCGGGCGGGTCACGATCGGTCGTTTGTGAGAATGGGAAAGTCGGCAAAATCGCATATTTTTGCAAAAAGCATCAGTGTTTTTCGTGAAGTCATGGTGAAAATAATGTGTTTCTCGCATACTCGCGGCAATTTATGCGTGCAGAGCCATGGAAAAGTCATATTTTTGAAATCTCTAAGAAAGTAGGGGGTTTTAAAATGGGAAGACTGAAAACTTCCTGCATCCCTGGTAATCAATACCCAGTGGCGGATCCAGAGTGAGTTGTAGGGGGAGGGGGCTATTTGCTGATGTCGAGGGAGATATCCCTCAGAACGAGGGTTGAAGGGGATTCTCCCCCAGAAAATTTTTAATAAAATATCCCCTCCCAGATTGCATTGTAAGCAGTTCTATCCCTGGATCCGCCACTGTCGATACCCCTCCATGGATCCAAGAACCAAGTCCTTTTAGTTGATCCGACCCAAAAAGAAGGTACCTCAAAGCACCCCAAAGTGATCTTTAAGACGGAAATTTTGAAGCGTGCAGGGGCCGAAGCGTCGGGGTGTGACGCGGCGTGGCGCGGCGTCGAAGTGGCCATGGCGAAGTTGAACGGTAGGAAGAACGAAGAAGCCGCGAGATTACATACTTTCCCGCTTTCAAGGAGCGGGAGCGCCGCGCGTCTGGAACCCGGGCCCCGGGGTCTGCGGGCCCTCTCCTTTCTCCGGCTATCACGACGATCGCGGACGAGTGCCTCGAGCCCACCGCCGCCGCCGACTGGGAGCTTCTTCCGCCGGGCCCAGGAGGAAGAACAGCCTATCAGTCTTCAAACGTAGCCAAATTGCATTCGATAAAATCCGAAGAATGAGTCCAAGGTATGGGAGAAACCATGGTATGCACACANAAAAAAAAAAAAAAAAAAAAAACACTTTGGATCTCGAGTCCAGACTCTTGAAAACATTGACAAGAAAAAATACTCTTGATTCAATCGGATGTTTGCTTGAATGAAAAGGAAATCCGCTCAAATTAAGAGGCTTGGTGCTTGATTTAAGCTAGATTCTGATTGAATCAAGAGTACTTTTTCTTGTCGATGTTTTTAAGAGTCTGGACTCTAGATCCAATGTGTTTTTTTTTTTTCCAGTGCACTGCGGTGAATGACGTCATACACCGTGTTTTTGGATGATCCATGTCTCCGTCGATATTATACGTAGGAGCTTGAAATTCAAACAGATTTCAGTAATTTTTGCTAATCCATAAGCTTAAACCCCTAAAACATGATTCAGTGATCAACGCAACTGACACATTTCACCCGAAGTACACGAACATCCCAAGGAAAAATATTCATTGTCTCTTCCTCCTTTTTTTTTTTACACGTCAAATATCCCACGAGGGATAATCCTGCGCTTTACCGTCGCCAGAGCTCCATCCCCCTCCGCTCCTAATGAAGCCAGCTCTTGGTAACAATTGTTTGAGACCATCAAATTCGGATCACCTGCCCGGGAATCGAACCCGCGACCTCCCGATTCTAGAGCGAGGGCCACAACCACTACACCACAGGAGGACGTCAATCTAGATACTCTGGACAACACACAAATTTATACTATGCACAATCGGATATTTTACCGGTTATAGTTTGGCAATGTCTGATCGTTCATAAGACGTTTTTCCCTACGGAATGAAGTCTTGTTCTCATCCGAACGAAGCCGCGTTCCGAGTTAGAATGCGCATGTTAAACGTGCGAAAACTGCATCGGCTAATCTCAGATCATGCCTATTTCGACGCTCCTCTTATTATAGAGCGTATCTTTATTTTCACATGAGCCCTAGAAGGCATAAAGTTAGATGGAGAACAGGGCTCACGTAGAAATTTAGACACGTCAGAACAGCGACGATTTGTCCTAGTCCGGGCCCAGTGTTCATCCATGCGTCGCGACTATCCGCGGCCGGTCAGCCACGCTTGCCAAGCCCAGGGAAAACATGAGGCCTTTGCAATACTTTTTAGCCGCCATCTTGCTTACCTCACCGGCGGGTGCGTCATTATAAGCAAGCTCTGTAGGTTGATTATTGGAATTAATAGACAAAGCGCTAGACGAAGAGGACAAGGGGTAAATGGAGCAATCCTATCGTTTGAAATAGGTGGTTGTTGTAGACTGAGGAGAAAAATGAGTTCCAAAACACTTTTCAGTGCTTGAAAATTGGATTTAGTGGTAATTTATTCTTCGAATACATTAGTAGTTAAAATTATTAATGTCTCAATGTCTTCAAAAACTGTACCAATCCCACTTGTCCTTCAAGCCCCTCATATGAAAAAGTACCTTGTCCATTTTCATTTTTCCCGGCTTCCAATTAGCAAATGCAATAAAGCATTTCATGCGGCTCTCTAATAGTAAGTATATTCCCCTTGAGTTGAGCTATCTAAATGGATGGTCCAAAAGGGGTGACATACATTTTCATAATCTGAGTCACAGTTGATTTTCTCGTATATTTTTGTCGCCTAATATTCGACGCGCTATGTCATCTAGATAATACCCGTAATTTTTCGTAAATAATCCCGTGAGTTTGTGCCAGCTTTCATAAAAAAATAAAGAACGGGCAAGAAAAGAAGCTAATTTGAATGTGTAATGAGAAAGAGGACGAACCGCCTTATTCCAGTAAACAAACGATAGACGATGATGATCCTAACGCCTGCAACCGGACCTGAAGCAACTATTCGTGTTTAGTAGCTGTCCGTGTTGCCTACAGCGGAAAATGAAGGCGCCCGGTTATTCATTTCTTTGGAACAGCACCCATGACCTCTGTTTTTCTTGCCAGGCAGATTCCTTATAATCTTACCGTATACAATTGTTAGTTCACCTGCGCATGTTTTTTATCTTCCTGCAAAGTAGTTTCTCAACTTTAGTCAATATTTTTTTCAGCATCTTCACAGCAATTTTATTTTCTTGCTCTATCGAACAACTTTTTTCAGAATTCTTACGTACGCTTTTTAGTTACTAGCGCTCATCAACTTTACATTAGTCGTAGTTTTTGCAGCTTTTTGCATGATAGAATCTATTTTGTGTGTGATTGGTGGTGTTAGGTTGGCTGGAACCTCTCATGGACAGGATTGCTCGAAATAACACCACTGTTGTTTGCCCTGTCATCGATGGTATCGATGCAAATACATTTGCATACAAATTCAATAAAAAAGGGAGTTTTCAAATTGGCGGTTTCAGGTGGAACCTGATCGTAAGTAATCAACATTTTACACTCTGCATCATATATTTTTTGGTAATTTTTCAATTCACCCTATAATCTGAGGAAAAATTCTATCATTCGCAATTGAATCTGTCTCGATCAGTCATTATTCAAGATTTATTCAAATTAAATACTGCGCGATCTCTAAAATAATTATTAATTTTCTTATTTTATTCGTGAAAGCCCGTTAATTTGTATTCCAAAAGGATTTTATGTAGTTCAAGGCAAGAAGTTCTCTCTCCTGTGTAAAAGACATATTTGTATAAGAAAATCAATGAAGACATATCTAGCGAATAAGCAATGACTTTTGGGCCTCCGGATCTTTTGTTAGCACTGATTTTCATCTTCAATTCAGGAAACACTGATTGAGGTATTTTGAAAAACCAGTGTTTTTATTTATTCAATTCAACCATTTAAACACTATATAATTGACAAAACAAAACATATATCATTAGCTTATTACTGTATGGGTTCTTTTTAGCTAAAGGAACAAAACTAGTGTGCCAACTTCTTATTTTCATCATGACCAGTTACTTTACTTACCTGGTAGTAATCAGGCAAGTAAAGTCAAGGCAATCAAAATTGATCAACAAGGATCAATTTTAACACGGCACTCTATTAAGACATTAGATTCAGTCAAAGCAGTCACAAAATATTTTGTCTGATTTTCTCTTTGAAATAATATATACTTTACTTTGCCCACAGTTCAACTGGCACGCTGTTCCTGAAAGAGAGAAAAAGCGACACAAAAATCCAGCTGAGCCTGTGTGGAGCCCTACTATGGCTGGTGGACTATTTAGTATTGATAAACATTTTTTTGAACGTCTCGGCACCTATGACTCAGGATTCGACATCTGGGGTGGTGAAAATCTAGAGCTTTCTTTCAAGGTAAACTTTGGCAAATTATCATAAAATTAATATTGAAGATGTTTGAAGTGTATATTAAACATCCAGAAGAACCAATCAGGAATTCCTGTTCTAATGAATCAGCTCCTTACTTCCTCTGAAGGAAAAAAGGAATTCTTTGCATACTCAACAAATTTACGCTAGACGTAGCATACATACAGTTCACATGCAACATTTTTCCTTTTAACGTGAATTTAGCCATTTCACACACTTATTCTGATACATGTACAGTAAAACAAAAATGAAATTATTTAAGATAAAATAATTTCTTGTTCACGCAAATGTGTCATTCTCATAATAATTCTCCTCTGTTAAGACGTTACTGGGAAGCCAGTCTTCTTCTGTCAGGATGTAGATACAAATCCTAAGAAATGTAAAAAGTAAAAATCCTAAACATGTCATATCTTTAGCATGCTGAGATATCACCTCCCCCCTCCCCTCTATGCACTTAATATGTATGAGCTTGTTTTCTTATTTTTTAATTTTTTTTCCTTTTTCATTACCATAGACTTGGATGTGTGGAGGAACTCTAGAAATTGTGCCATGCTCTCATGTTGGTCATATTTTCCGCAAAAGGTCCCCCTACAAATGGCGATCAGGTGTCAACGTTCTCAAGAGGAATTCAGTCAGACTTGCTGAAGTTTGGCTGGACGAATATGCTAAATACTATTACCAAAGGATAGGAGGAGACAAAGTAAGTATTTTAATAAAATTTGCCCCATTTTTCATTTTCAATGCTGTGAAGTTTTCCTCAAAAGGTATCTTCAGATTAAAAAAATTTGCAAGCTTTTACTCAGTTATTTCATCTTAATCCAGCAACTTATGATTTTCTTGCGATACCCTTGGATTAATCAAAATCCAAATGTGCGCAACGTTTACAATATGGTCCATATATTGTTGTCTTAGTGACTTCTTTGTAAATATTCCAATGCAAGAAGCTAGCCTGAGGCTTGCAATCAAACACATCCTTGCAATTTTTTTATTTTGCTTGTTTCAGGGTGATTTTGGAGACGTTTCCTCAAGGAAAAAGTTGCGGGAAAAATTAGGATGTAAACCATTCAAGTGGTACTTAGATAATATTTATCCAGAACTTTTCATTCCTGGTGAAGCAGTTGCTTCAGGAGAGGTGAGTCATAATTCCCACTTATTGTGTAAAATATCTGCGTTATTTTTAATGAGTAATAATAGTCAAGATCAAAACATACTCCTCTATCTCTTACTTTTGAGATTTATGAGAATCATCAACTCAAAACTTTTCATTCCAAGAATATCTAATCAATGTTGCTGCATTCAACATAAAATAATTTCACAAGTACCTCTTCCTTTGACAAAGTTCACAAAATTATCCAATAGCCAGTATCAATTTTTATCAAGAACTGAAAGTTTTTCACCTGTTCATTTTATTATTAATGCATTGAATGAGGCTGTTTGAATTGAATGAGGCAGGAGTGCCTCTCATAAACCAAAGCACTACTTTGCATATTGTCCTCTAAATTTTACGTTAAAAAAAACATAGCAATCTAAGTGAAGTTCTAAAATGCTGGGTAAATGTACTTAAGTGTTTACATCCAACAGTCGATAAGCATGAACACTGAACAGTGATAATGTGAATATAAACTATCTTTTCAAATCAACAAATGGTACGTACTATCTACTATGAACATTAAAAATGAGCTTGTTTGTATCTTGTCAGAGTGATTGTCAATTTTTTGTTGCATGCACGCATCGGTCTTAAAATCTATGAAATCCATGAACAATTTGGAACAATCCTATCAGGAACATAAATAGTTAATTGGTCTCACTACCTTGAGATTCTTAAATCCTTCTATGGGAACAATTGAGAGCATCTTATTTGTGTTTTTATTTCTTATAGACTCTTTGTTTTCTTCTAATTTTGAAGTTACCGTAATTCGTTTTGGGTTTTAATTTTCTTGAAGGTTTCAACAGAGCTTTTGCTCAGTAAATTGAAGTTGGGAACTGTATAGAAATTCTGGACATATAGATAGAGTCGAACACATACCTGGGGAAGAACAATAGGAAACAATTTAGACAATTTTTGAGGAACATGACTTTCTGCATTTTTAAATTTTGAATTTTCCGAGAAATAAAAGTTGAAAGTGTGGGCAATCAGTTGTGCAGAAGTCTATTTTAATTGGTCTTTTAAAATTCTGTGAGCTTGGATAAGTTTCTAGAATATGTGGTCTCATTATCACTGTTCTACCCTCTCGGTAGACTTCCTCGCTCTAAATATTTTAAAATTTTGCTCTGGTCTCATCTGTCTGCTTCCTCTAGATCAAAGTCCAACATGCAATCATGCATCATGAATGACATCATGTAATTTTTCCAACCTCTTTCCCTCCCTCCCATGTGCACTTTTCAGCCACGTCTATTGTAATTTTTGGCACATGTCAGGCACCCCAGACGCTGATCATTTTTGGGCAGCACCATATTTTGTGAAAGTTTTCTGATCTATTATCCTTTTATTTGTAAGAATTGGGTTATAATTTTGATCCCATACCTCCTCATCAAAATTTTTCTCAAGATTTGAACCTGGTATCTGGCAAAGCAGAAGCACTATTTTGCTCCTATTCATGAATTATTATACTTTCCAACTCTTATCACTCACCCAGTATTAGCTTCCAGATAAGTATTCAAGAATTTTCCCAAGAGTGTTCGAAATGTTGAAAGCGGTGAAATGACACGTGAATAGTGAGATGTAAGATTAAAATGCAGTTTTCTAGAGTACAGATTTTATGGAGTCTTTGTCCTTTTGAGAAGATCCAAAGCATGAAATTGTGTGTGTACCTGTACACCTCCTCGGAATGGCACTATTGAATGAAGATGTACATTCATCTCAGGCTAGAAAGTATCTGAAATAAGACTTCTGCTCTCAAGATACTTCTTTTGCCCTTGATGTGCTTTTTTCTATTTATTGTCTTTTCTCCTATCAAATTAGCCAGGAATTTTATACTGTAGGATTTAAAATGTCTAGAAATTCCACTGCAATTTGGATTTTGGGACTCGGATAAATTTTAAGAATGTAATCTCCCAAACCAAAAAATATTCTTACGTAGTGCTCAATATACATTGATTGTATAATTACTCAGTGGTCAAAAACCTGTGAACTGTAGCGGATCTTCATGAGGTTGATAGAAATTTTGTTTCGTCACACTGCGACTAAATGACTCGAAGTTTTTGCCTTATTATCTGTTTATTTTTGAAATCACTGCCTATTTTCAAAAACAGGTGCGCAATATGGGCTACGGTGGTAAAACATGTTTGGATTCAGCTGCTCGAAAAGGCGACTTGCATAAACCTGTAGGCCTTTACCCATGCCATAGAATGGGCGGTAACCAGGTTTGTGAACAAATAGAATGCCCGATTAGGATTGTCTCCATGTTATATGTTATGTTTCATGTCTTGGTGTATATTTTGGTTGGTTTATGTTTCGTTGATCGTTGTATTTTAGACCGTCTGGGTATCATAATCATAGTAATCAACATTTATGCTATTAATTTTCTCACCTCAGTGGTTGAAAGTATAAGTCACAAGCAAGCTTCATCATTTCATTGTTCGTCAATTTATCTTTTGTAAAAACAAACACTGAATTTGAGGGTCTCTTTTAAAATTGCTATGAATGCTCTCAAATATAAAACTAAAGTAAACTTAAAACCACCATCCTCTTTTCTTGTTTTTGCATGTGCAAATATCTTGCATGTACTGACAATGAGTAAAAACTGCTGCTTTACTACAGTCTACTACTACTAATCCTAGTAAATGGATTCTAGGCTGCAATTTATTTAATTTATTTGTTTTATCTTTGTTATTGTTCTTTGTGAAAGTACATACTTGAGAGAAAAACTAACTCAAAGTACATAATCCCCCCCCCCCCCANAAACTTGCGTAGGTACTCAAGCAAACCGCAGAAAACCAAGAGAGAGATCCATCATTTTTACCTTAATCTGATTATTGAACGTATTAAGCTTCAAGTGACTTATAAATTCATCCAATCATGTGCACATTCTAATGGGTTTGAAGTGTTTAATATGGGCCTATTCGCGTAACTTCTTTAACATTTCGACAGAAGATGATTTTTCCGTTAATTTGCTTTAGATTCGGAATCAATGGTCAGACTATTGCATCGATTCCTCATGTAAGCCTGAAGATATTCATAAACCAGTGAATTTGTGGCCTTGCCATAGGCAGTTTGGTAACCAGGTAATGATAAGGATTCATTTTAATTTCTAATTTCTCCTTCTTCGTCGGTTTTTCTGGCCCTCCTTGCGGTATTAACATCTAATATCTCTAACCAGCATGAATAGATTCTAGTATTTTTGTACAGATTTCATTTTTATACAAATCAACAGCTTGTGATATTTCATCACATTGATTGCCAAAGTGCAAAACCGGGTATCATTGTGATGTTTCTAAATTTCTGCTCCTATTTTATTTTTTCGAATAGAAAAAAGTCAGCCTTATAACTTGAAATTTATACAAAGTTTTCTGCCAACAGAGAGGAAAAATCAAGGAAATTTTTAAAAAATTACAAAAAACTAATGCTCCAAAGATTTAATAAAGTATGACAGAAAGCCTGCAACTTTGCTAATAGAGATATGTGGTTTTGCACTTTAGGCAACAACATGCTTTTTGTAAGAAATTTAGATGAGCTAAGCTGCTAGTACTTAAACTGTTTGATTTCATAACGCTGCGCTGTTAAATAGAAGAAAAAATTGCTTCCTTACAATCCTCCCAGTATAAAAAATTAACCTAACCAAAATCTTTTCCTTTCCATAACACACGTCTTACCTTCTAAGAAGTGTTCAACTAACCTTCAGTGAATTGAAATAACTATTCAAGAGTCGTCACTCTAACAGGACTGAAAAACTCATCTTGACTAAATGTTGCCCAAAAAAAAATGCCCTTTCCCTCTTTAAAAAAAAAGAAAACGAGAAAGAAATGAAAGACTTACTCATCTTGACTAAATGTTGCCCAAAAAAAATGCTCTTTCCCTCTTAAAAAAAAAGAAAACGAGAAAGAAATGAAAGACTTACTTTACTTCCCTGTTTATAGTGGTAGCGATGTTGCCATGTAGTGAACCATTCTTCCCCCTTTAAACCCATGTAAAATATCAAAATTTTACGGCAGAGCCTGGCAACCTTGGAGTGGTAGAGATCTATTTCAATGGTCTCCAAAGTCTCTGAAATGGAACTTGGAAGTTACTGTTTCATCAATACATTTGCGTACATCCATTCTGTGTCTTGAAATTCAATCATATATTAGCTTTCTCTGAGACACCCTGTATTTATATTAAATTTCTACCTGTTTGAAAGACTTTTTTCTCTAAGAAAGTTTCATATTAAAGTACTCAGCAATACTTTTGACTGATATTGGTGCATTTTTACGGTCTTGTTCACATGAGCGCTGTTTGCGGAACGTCGGGTGAACTTGTTCCCTGAATCTCAGTAATATGCCTTAAGTTCCGTGAACTGCGCTCGTGTGGACAAGGTCTAAGTTTAGATTCTGCTGTCAGTGTAGCTTTAAGTATATCCAAGCTAGATTCAGATGTTTGTACACAGATCAAAACAAATGATTCTGTCTTTACTCTGCAGCCTCAGTAGTATTCATAAAATCATTAATTTTGATTTATGTTTGATTCTTTACTGGACTTGATTTATTGAAAGCTATCTTGAAAGTGGGACCTAAGCATTATCCATCGCTGAGTTTAAATTTAATGAATTTCTTAATACCTTTGCCTGTAGGAGAAATTTTGAATAAAAGTTCAAAGAAGAAGAAGAAAACATTCAATGAATTTCTCTTGAATTAGGCAAGATTTTAGAAATAAGCAGCTGGAATGTGCTTCAGAATCATAATTGCTTATCAAAAGTGGCTGATAAATTGATGCGCAAAATTGTTAATAGGCATGCTGATTATTTCTCAGTCGAGCTTCCATTTATTTTAGTTTCATTTTATCGTAGAAGTATTTAAAGTCTCTGTTTTTTGCTCTATTTTTTTTGCCAATATATGATAGCTATATTTGTTAATAGTCTGTGTATAATATCTTTTATAATTTTGGGGTTCAAGTGTCATCCTGATCCAAAATTTTGTGAATGTACTCTTCGTAATCTAAGGGAAAGCCACTAAACATTTTCAGGCATCACTGTTCAGTTTTGTGGTGAAGAAATAAAACATGAGAAGAAATTGTGCATGAAGAAATGCAGTTATGCCACTTCTGATCAAACTTGACCATTTGTTCTTTCAAAATAGATGAAAAGTGATTCTCATATCGATTCAAACATTTGTAAAAACAAAGAAAATGATAAAAAGAAATTCAGGAAATTTAAACAAACAATGATCTGAGCTGACTAGCTCTGAATTTGAAAACCACATCGCATGTTTTCTCGTTTAGATGCATGCAGTGTCATACACTGCGTTTGATGAAAAGTCTGAATTTTAATTTCAAGGCAAGAGAGAAATATTTAATGTCACTATAAGAATAAATTGGATGAATAATTTTTAACGCCTTCTACTGTTTTGCTCGTGATTGCAACCTAATGTAAATGATTGATCTATCTTGCTAATTTACTTTTGAATTTTTTGTTTTGCCCACATTTTTTCTAAGTCAAGATGAACAAAAAGTTGAACTTATACAATCTTTAATTTGAAAAAAAAACAAGAAAATATTAATGATGAAAGGCAAAAAGGCTAACTGAAGGCAATTAGTTCTTTAAACTTTCAGACTCTTACTTTTTTACTTCAAACTATTAGGCGGTTATTTTTTAAATTTAAGTTGGTAAAAATGAGGTTCCATTAGTAAATCATTGATGGAAAAATCTGTTTCTCATCATTCTTTAATTTTTTTGCAGTTCTGGATGCTAAGTAAAACTGGTGAAATTCGCCGAGATGAGGCTTGTTTAGATTACGCTGGAGCAGATGTGATCTTATATCCTTGTCATGGCTCGAAAGGAAATCAGTTGTGGCAATATGAACCTGATGTAAGTAGTACTCCCTTCATATTATTTTCCATTTCACAAAAGGTGACATCAAGTGGATTGCATTTTGCCAAAAGGAACCACTAGCATTGCAATGTTGCTAAGATTGTGCAACTTCTTTTGTCTTTGAGGAAAAACCCGATTATCCATCAATAGTTTCTATTTTACTCGCTAAAAACTGTAAATTTAAGACAAAAATTACCATCTAAATTTCACAGTTTTTCACGATTTCCACAATTTTATTTCAAAAGATGAAGTTGGACAATTAGCATCATTGCAATGCTAGTGGTTCCTTTTTGCAAAATGCAATCCAAGTGTGATAACATAATTCAGGAAAGTTTTTCATTTCCGAATTTCATTCAAATATTTATGTATTTTAGAAACTTAGTTTCTTCTCGATTTTCTAGGAACTAAAATATCTAAGAAAGATATTGTATCCGTGCATTTCAAATCTAATAATTTTTTTTTGATACATTCACAATTCAAATAGCATTACCTATTTGAATTCTTCCCAATTATCAAAGTAAAAATAACTGATTGTGAGTGCGATACTGTACTGCCTTACTAAAGAAAAACATTGTAAAAACACTTGAGAGTTGCTAAATTTCCTCCAAGAAAGTGTTTATTTTGAAGAAGTTATGAATATTTCTTCTTGAAATTTTCAAGTAATTAAGATCTGCCAGCAAACGAAATTCTCTGCAAAATTGGAGGAAAAATATTCACAGATTTCCTTGAAAATTTGTGTTTCAATAGCGGTAATTTGGCAATGTCTGAAGGTGCGCAAGGCGTTCTTCCTTAGCACGGCGGAGTAGACCTGCCGACTACTTAATAATTAATTACTATCCGTCTAATTCCAATCATCTGGAGATCTGGAGACTCGTCTTATTAGACATGCATATTTTTGGATTTCTATAAAAATTCTAAAAAATAATTTTTTTTGAATGATGTGCTTTTTGAAGAGGGGTGCCTTTAAGGCCTATCTTAAAGCTAAAATTGACCTCACTCATCCTGCTTCCTAGGTTTTCCAATAGTGAAAGATCTATATTTGATTTTAATTGCCCAGTCCCTATTGAGAAAGGACATTAAACTTGAAAAAACCATGAATATGTCCATTGTTGGCTTACAGACTTGGCTAAAATTAATTATTTTCGTCAAATAGAGACCTGCTACCGTCAAAAACGCTTGAATTATAGAAATTTACAGTGGCACTGCTTTGGGGCTTCAGCAACACCCCTCATATGGTACTGCGGCATTTTTTCATTAGGAGCCTTGAATCATCTGGTACACAGTCTCAACTTTTTGCTCACTTTGCTAAACCTTCATTTTGTAGTGGTACCTTCGACATGTTGTCTAATTTTACTCTGTCATAAAGTGCTTGTATTACTTCCCTCCCCGAAAACCTCAGCAATTTGTTTTTGGTTGCAGACTCATTTTATCCGCCACGGTAGCAGCAAAAAGTGTTTAGCAATTTCAGCAAATAAACAGAAGCTAAAAATGGAAGAGTGTGAAGAAAGTAGAGAGAGGCAAAAGTGGATTTTTGAAAACTACGACCCATCAAAGTTATAGTTCTTGTCAGCAATTTAAGGTAAGGTTTTTCTCGAGTCCTCTTTTCAACCAGCTTGTGGTTGATTGCCCTCTGCTTGTCTTTTTAGTTGTGTACATCTTCCTTTTTCTCAGGTTTAGTATTTTCCTGTACTTTAACGTTTGTGAAACTTCATCTGTTTCACGTCACATAATTTGGATTAAAATTTCATTAAGACCTTTACTTAATTTCTCGTAATATCTAATATCGAATTGTTTCATTCTCTGATTGGTTAATAATGTTTATCTCACAACTTTTCTTTTTTATTGAAATTTTTCCATTTTTTAAATCTACATATTTTTATCAAGTATACACATTGAGAACCTTTTTTTTCTCACAGAGAAAAATTGATATTTCTGAAATACTCTCCATTGCTACTTAATGTGGTTACAATAAACTACTTAACTATTTTTCGTACAAAATACAAAAGAAAAAAGTCGAAACGTAAAGTGTTCTCTCATCTTATAATTAATGATCTTGCAGCGTAGTAATCTACTTAATTTTTCTTGTCAGTTTGTGAAGTACTGAACAACAAATAAAATTTGGCAATAATTTCTCTTCACATCATTCAGTAGCGAGACAAGGGTACAAAGTAATTAGCCAAAAAGAATGTGCTCAAATTATAGAAGTGAGGTAACTGATGATTCGCATTCTAAAACATCATCATTTAAAATCTAATTAATAAAAATGTTTATATGTAAGTATAAATTAACAATTTAGCCAGTAATTTTTAAAGCTGAAACTTCATCAAATTGACATCTTGTAGTATGTGATAAACTTCTACTTAACCCTATCATTACCAAGCCAAGCGTTTGCAAGCTCCACAGCAAAAATTTGTTGTCATGCAGACAAATCGAAACGCTTTCTGTTAGAAAGTGGCGAAAGTTGTAGTTCAGATCCTTTTTAACTCCTCCTCATTTTAACATTGACGTAAATGAATCTCTGTTGGGTCAGTTCATATAAGTTTTATTCTAATTATTTTGTTTTTTGAGTGATGTGATGAGAAAGAAATTGATAGGAGCCAAACAAGAAACATCAGAAGTCAATTTTTTCCAACCATTACTTTATCTCCTCAATCAATTTTCAAAAACCGTTCAAGGATTTGGTTTAGAAAAGTGATAATTCTTTATTTGGCACTCCAGATTATGTCAGTTAACATCATTTTGAAAAGTTTCGTAGAAATATTGACTATCCCTTTTTAAATCCTGTGCCATTTCTTCAGTCAATACTCTACTTTAAACAGATTACCAAATGGACATAATAACTGATCGAGTGAAAAAGGAAGTCATTATACCTATCAGTCATGATTTTCCGGTCTAAATACTTATCTTAATTCCCAATCATGCCAAATTACATTCCAATATATCTGTGGTTTCTGATGTATCTTCGGGTTTGAAAATTTTCTGTTTTCCAAAATGGTTAGGAATTATTTAGTTCTCCTTGTTTAGGATTAAATAATTTACCAGTTATGAAAGTGAAAATTTATTGATAAACATTCCATTTGTGTATGTATTTTTCTTTTTACCTAGAGCTGTCATCAACATATCAGTTATTTGTTGCAATGATGAGTAAAAACTCAAGGAGTAAATTTGTGTAAATACATTATTTCTGTCCTTTTTTTTTTTCAGTATCTTTTTCACAATTGTGATATTCTTAGTAAATTTTTGTAACTTCCATCTTTTGTAATATACTCTCCTCTAGCGTATTGTTTTAAGTGATATGTAATAGGAAACTTAAATTTTATATACTTACCAAACTCAAATGTAGATAGGTGGATTTAAAAAAAATGTGTATAAAATTTGATTCTTTATGTCTCCTCCTTCTACTTTCTTGTGTTAAAAGGTAAATCAAGCTAAAATTTATTGTATATTCTTGTATACTAATCTGTATATTTTTTACCTGTAAAAATTTCTCTAAAACCAAAATGATGATTCCATAATTTATATTCTAATTCGTTCGCACTTCTCTTCCTTTGCATTGTTGATACTGAAAATAATTATGCAAGATGTTTCAAAAGAAAATATCTGCCTTGGATATCTTTTAAATAATTTGTGCATTGAAAAAAGCCATAACACCCAAGAGGCCCAAAAATACCAATGTGCGGGAAAGATGTCGCCTCTCAAAATTATTGAAAACGTCTTTTGTCATTTGTTGATATTCGAATTCATTCAAAAGATATTCGAGGTGGATACTTTCTTTTGGAACACCCTTTATATAAGGATGAAAAGTATGCGAATATTTAAATTAGTTAGACTAAAATAAGAAAACTCAAAAGATAGAGCTTTCTTATTGACAAATCGTTGCTCATTTAAACTCTTATTATTAGCTCATTCTGATGTGCCAGTCGGAAAATTAAGGGTGATTACGCAGGATGCTATCTCATTCAGCATAAACACTTGCTCTACAAATTCAAAGTCAGATTAATGAATCCCTCTTTAGAGCAATAATATGACAAGTGATGCATCAAGTTCCCTGTTAGATAGGTATTTTTATTCAAGATTAGAACTTCTTTGTGATGGAACTATTTATTGCATTCAATTACAGAGCCTGTCATTTTCTTTCCTCTGATGATTGAAGCATCTCTTGAGAAGAACAAAACCAACTTCTCAAATTGCTAGTGTAACTTTTTTAAATTTTTGTCCAATTTCATTTCTGGGAGTAAAATCAAGTCCCATAAATTTTCCAAAAAAATTAAAGGTAATGTGTTTTTCTGAAGGGTCAAATCATTCCAGAAGGCTCCTCTATTTTAAAATTTTAAAAGAAATTTTTGATCTTCTTCATTCTACTCATCAGAACCAGAACTTACTCCTATGTTATCTGAAAGAGTAATCCTTATTGTTAACTGAAGAGTAATAGTTTTGTCTTATGAATTGTGGCTAAAATCCATCCAAAATTTAAATTTAGAGTTCAAGTCTTCCAATTTCAACATTCCTCATTCTCATCAGTTGGGTACTGATTACTGAATCAAATTTGTTCTCAAGTTTAATATTATACTTTATTTTCCCGTTTTTGACCAGCAATACTTAGAATCTCCAGCGCTTCACCCTCTTTTGCAGGCATTAAAATGCCTAACAAAGAAATTGTTCCCGAGGGTATGATAAACTTATAGCTCAAAAGTCAGCTGAGTCGAAAAATTGTTCAAAATGAGATGTTTAAAATTACAAGTAATCACTTTTTCCAAAGATGCATCCATTGGGTTTACTTGCAATTAATTTGAGGGCACTTGTGAAAAAAGTCAATAATCTTCAAGTGATTTTTCCTCTTTTTTTATTAATATTAATATTTTGTAGGTAGGTATTATTATTGTGCAATAATTTTGTTGATATTACTAGCGAAGTCGTAAAAATTTTGTTATTTTCCCAATTGTATGAAATGTATTTTTTCCTCACATTGAACATCTTTGACTTTGTAGAAACTAGAGTCTTGCTGATAATCAAGTAGGGAGAAGAAAATTATGCATCAAATATGTTCCGGTGCAGTATGCAAAGTTTTGTCAGTTGAATGAAAAATTTGCGAGTTACTGAACATTTTGTTGCGCACTGTAAATTTCAGAAAGATTAGGACTAGAAACATCCGTAGTGTCGAAATCTCCTTGAAAGTGCTTAGATTTTGAGAAGTTCAAGGCTTTTTAAGTTTTATTTTTTTCTTCAAAGTGTGAACACAATGGGAAAGGAGAAAATTTTGAAAAATTTTGTAAGTTTGAAAGTGCTCCAACCACAATGTTTATTTTCTGTCTCTGAACTGTCTACATTCCCCACAACAATACTTTTAAGCTTTGACAATTACCTATCAAAACTCTCTTACTCTCTCTGTTTTCAACGTGTTTGCAAAACTTTACAAATATTGCCAGATGTAGCCACAACAAAACTGTCAAACACTTTAGAAAACTTTTTTCTGTTCGTAATATATTTGTCAAGTAAGTTACAATACCAAATTTTTAGGCCTTCATGTTCTAGAAAGCCAGAAGCTAAAGAGAATCCAATTATCAAAATTTCTGCCGCAAGAGTAAGAATTCCCATCCTATTTGTAGATTAATTCATCAAATTTGATTTTCTCTTTTAACAAATACCAACAGGAAGCAAATTTGAAAGAGACTTTTGAAGCAAGTATCCAATAAGAATTCTCAGACTTTGCTTCTTTTACTGCAGGTGTTTTTTACTATTACATTAAATTTTTCACTATTAAAGCACCTAAGGCGTTCTTAAGTTCGCTGCAACCTACAAGGAGAGTGTTACTACAGGGTTACCCTGCAGAAGTCTTAAGGAACCATTGACTTCAGAATCTCTCCGAATTTGCCTCAATTTTTTAGTGATTTTTGTTGAATTTTGTGAGGAGAAACTTGACACTCAAGTTTAAGAGTTTTTTTTTTTTTTTTTTACTATCATCTGTTATCATATCAATACTCAGCATACAATCGTTTTGTAGTATTTTATAATTTTTCCAAATTTTTTTATAAGAGTCAAAATTTTTTCCTCTTTATGTCTCTTTTTTAAAATAATTTAAATTCATGGCTCAAGATTCTAAATTGTTCTCAAAAAAGTTCATTTGAAGGACAAAAAATGAAGGATAGAGTGAGTGCAAAAGTTACAACCTAAAATTAACGAAAATAATTACTCCGCTGTCCAGCTAATCGGATGTTCTCTCTGATGAAACTTCAAGTCCTCATTAGTTGAATTCCGGCCTGACTCATAATGGTTATTTTTGTTTTAATGGGTGAGAGGCCATGTATTTAATATGAGGAACTCAGGAAGTGAACTTCTCCAATCATGTCACACTTGTGGTGTAGCATATACAACGTGATCTGTCCTCCAAATTCTTCATTGTATATCTTTCATGACATATCTGTCCTTTTTCTGATAAAATTATTTTGTGAGCTGTTGGGAAGAATATTTATTTCCTAGAAAAGACACCACCATTGAACTGTGCTTAGTAATCTTAAAGTAAGGAAGTGTACGAGATAGAAGCAAAGATGCGTCCACCATCATAAAAATGAAAATATTGTCACTCCTCAAACATATTTGATCGAGTTTTCTTGCTGTTCGCGGAGAATTAGCAAAATGGCTTAGAGTAATTGCAAAATTGGGATTTTGTTTAATTATTTTCCTCTGATCCTGTCTCTTGTCTTTATGACTTGATCTTATCGTAGGGGAATCAATGAAGAAGAAAAATAAAACGTAGGCAGGGACAGGCGCATTTTCAAGAGAACCTGACTCCCTTCTACACAGAAAGAAATTGTTCAGAAGTTATGAAAATTCTACCTAAGAGCAACAGAGGCAGGGGAGCAGTTACCTCTTAAACGACTGACTCGTAGTCTCACTTTCCCAGTAACACTAATCAAATTCCTGATTCTTTTTCTCAACCTTAAGGGTCAAATGTTGAGTTGTGCCCATGTTGTTGGCTTCTCTTCAGTCATATTCTTTCCATTACTTCTCATTATCATGTCTTTGTCCATTTGTAACTGTTAGTAGATAAAAAGTTATTTTTTTTTTGTGCCTTATTTTGTTGTTATTGTACAGGTACTGAATAAATACTTTGAATTTGACAAGTTTGTGTTTCAAATTCTTTTTGTCATGAAAGTAAATTTTGCGGCTGATAAAAAAGAGGAAAGCTAACAAACTGAAAAAATGATTATTTCTACAGAAAGGGGCAAAATAGAAGGTATAGAATTTTTTTACTACCCGGCATAGTATCATAATTTTAATCACTAAGTCAACAAAGATAAACAAGAAGTGTCGCAAACTTCACCTTCTGAAGGCCACAGTTCGTTCAAAAAATATAATTTGAATTAGAGGAGAAATGATGGGCAAAGAATCTTCTTTTAAAAATAGTATATTTGAGAATCTTTCCTTTTCAAATGGTAGGAAATAAAGAAATACAAATTATCAAAACCACATGAATATAAAAAGATCAACAAGTATGAAAATAATTTATTATCTAATATTGTTTAGTAGAAACGTCCTTAAACATTTAACTTGGGATTAGTTCATTTATTTAAGTGTTGTCTTCTTTTCTAAAGGATCTCTAGAGGTGGTGTTTGTTATTGCACAAAAGGGTCTTACATGACAACATCAGCACTGTCAGAGTCGGTTAAAATGCATTCTGTTGATGAAGTTATTGGTTTATTTCGGGTAAAAATGCCTTTTACTCTGCTGTGGATTTCAACCGTCTCACCTAAAAAAAAAAAAAAAAAAAAAAAAAAAAAAAAAAAAAAAAAAAAAAAAAACAGAAAATTAGAGGAAGTTTATGATTTTGTGCCTGCGACAGGTGATGACTTGATGCTTGGACCTGGGGTCGCATCACAGTAAAAATATAAAATAATTACATGTTAATTATTACTTGCAACATAAAATATGAAAACAGAAAAGATTAACTCACAATTGAGACGCCACGTACCTGGTATTCTGTGATCAAGATTTGTCTCAGCTTGTCTGCTGATAATTGGAGCAAGCTCAAGTTGGCAAGTGGTTAAAATATTTTGATTTTTGGATAAATTATCTTCATTCCCTCTCTGAGGTTCAGTAGATGAATTTCTTTTGGCTGATAAAGTATCCAATGGTGCTGGAGCTGTTTTATTCACACGCCGAAAAGGGAAGAGTGCCCTGCCTGATTTATTTAAAATGTAATCTGTAAAATGTATTAAATCTGTTGTAATCAGAGATGAAAATAAAGAGTCAATTGCCTTGGAGCAAATTCTCTAAAAATACCTCATTCTTAAGTTCTTAGAATTTGATTACAGAGACACATAATATGTACAATGTACATCCTCTTAGTTATTAACTAATGCTTCCAAAATTAGGATATTCTAGCTCAGAAGTAATAATCAAAGTACCAAATACAGTGATCCGAGCAGGTTAAGTTGTTTAGTTTTGAAATTGAGGTATTGGTTACTAGGAGACAAACAAGTATATAAAAACAAATTTTTCCAGCTTCTCTTGAAGGGAAGTGAATTAGCCTATGAAGGTAACCTCAAAAGATGGGAAGCATTCAAATGAGTCAAGAAGACCTTCGTCATAAAAGTTTACTGTGCGAGGTTGAAAAATCAAAAAGTTTACCCTGTTTAAAATCTGAGTTTATAAATGCGCTTGCTCGGCAAAGGCAAAGGATGAAACAACAAAGCTCATCCAAAAGTCTTGCCAGTTATATTAACAAGAATATTAGCCAGGATGACAGTGTTGAGAACAAGAAAAAGGTGGGCGTCAAGAAGAACAAACAAAGGTACATTTTCTCATGCTCTTCAACTGGATTGTAAGCCTAAAGCCTCCTTCCCAGAAAACAATGAGGTAGCCCGTTTTTACCAAGAAAAACCCACGAGTAAAAAAATCTAGAACTGGTGGAGTATGAATTTGATTAATGTCCGATCTTCTTTTTATTTTTGATGAGGAAAATTTGAGACTCAGACAGTGGAAGGTAACGACACGGCTCATTTTGTGGGCTACAAATTGCCACTTTTTTAATTCAACATTACTGAAAATATATGTTGATCAGAATTTGAGTGCTAGTGAAAAATTTTGTTCAAAGTGACTTGAATAAATGCACAAGATCCGTCAAATTTAGAGGGAAAATTTGATGTTTTTAAGAATTACAAGAAGAATTTGTATTTGTGAACAAAATGAATGAACAATTGGCCCCTTCAAATCAACTGCTTGTCTCTTGGTGATTAACTTCTCTTTCCTGCATGGTCAGTTCCACAGACCATTGTGCTGTAGATATCGATTTGCTTTTTTCCAGGATTTTCATCGTTAAAATTTGTCAATTATATTTTTGCATTGGACTATGGTAAATACACATTTGAGATCTTGGGGGATACATTCTACATTTATTCCTTGCCCTCCTTGTTGATTTAATAAATTACAATTAAAAATAAGTTCTCAGCTCTGACAAGCTTCGTACACCGTGAAACATAATTGGTGTCTTCTGCTCTGCTCCTTCGGAATTAACTAGCCTAAACATTTTCATTTTGACCCTCCGTCCATATTGGCCCTCTTTTTACGAGCAGTTAAAAAGGATACTTATTTGTAAAAATACTAACAGAAAAATGATAAGATTTAATTTATATTTCCATCAAAAGCATCATTATTTTATCTGTTGCAAATGAAAAAATACATACCCGAGTCTTTAGCCGAGTGCATTCGTTCATCAGGCTGCATCTCCGCTGTTGAATCTGATGGAACATCTCTTCCACTTATCGTGAAAACAGACAAGTCAGGTGAATTGGAGACTACATCATCAGTAGGTTGAAGTGCTTTTGCATAAAATACATCCAAATCATCTTTATCCTCAGTGCTGGGTATTGTGAGATGAGAATTTTTGTTCTCCGTGTTCAATAGGAAGTTACTTGAGTTGGCGGGATCAACTGGAGGCAAAATGCCGTTCCTTTCCACAACCGCATTAACTCTCTGAAGATGAGAATTTTTTGATGAGGAAGCCTTGCCAACTGATCCATTTTTAATGACTTTAGTGTCATCAGATTCTTTCTATTAAAAATATGGAAAAGAAAAAATATTAATGCCTGGAAAAGAACATGTAGGTATTTGGCTCAACCTATTTGCGAACACTTGCATGTTATTAAAAGAAAAAGCATAGGAGAATTAACTGACGCTAGAAATAAGCGGGTTCCCCATCATAAGTTGCCTGAAGATTTTTCTCTTTTCTGACTTAATATTCCTCACATATTCTGCAGCCTGGTCATACATCTATGTAAAATAAAAGCATCAGCCACCCGTCGTCCTCTACTTAATTTTTATGGGGAGTTTTTGCAGGATTAGATTGGAGTAGCTACCGCCACCTAGAATTTTTGGCAAGATGCAAGTTCATGAACTAACAGCAAACAACCATAGTTCCATCTAGCCAGTTTTAAATCTTGATGAAATGCAAAATAATGTTTCGATCTTTGAAATCCATTAATGATGAAACTTACAAAAAACTCGGAGATTGGCCTGAACGGGTTCTTAAAATTGACTTCTTTCGAGCTGTCGTTGCTCCTAGTCGTTCCTCTATCCTTGATGTTTTGCCGCCATTCATTGCGTCTGCGCTCGGCATCCTCTAACTGCTGTCTCTCAGCATTTAAGACTTGATCGTTTAGGTGTTTGTAGTGAAGCAAAATGAAACTGACAAGCCATCTATTGGTATAAAGAAATCGAGGCTGAATTTAAGTACTTGATACACATCTTCTTTGCTCACATAAGGGGGAGAAAAAGTAAAAAAAAAAACAGCGCAACAAATGAAAAGGTTCATTTTTTATGCTCTATCAACGGTTCCTGGAAGAATTAACTAAATTCTTTCATGAAGAAAAATGCAATCATAGTTAGGAAAGAGTTGGTCCGAGTCAATTTAGACATTTTAGGGATTTATGGGACATATTACTGAGAAAAACTCTACACAATTAAATTTTAAAAATATGTACTGCAAGACCATATTTTTGGTTTTTTTTAAATTTCCACATGATACTCACCAGTCACTACGTTTTAAAACTTAAACTGTGTGAACACTTTCAGATTGTTTGAATTGTTCGAATGTTTGAGTTTAATTGAAATTCTTGTTTCTGCAAGATAAGAAAGTCAGAGCATTCTCATGCTCCAGTCGCACCACAAAAATCCTGATTTGTTGGTGTACACTCAGTCCACTCTAACTCATATTCAGTCTATCTTTGGAACAAGATTTTCATAGCAGTTGAGAACATTTGGAGATGATTGTTTAAATTCATTCAAGTTAAACCTTTGCAGTCACACAACTTACCTGAATCCAGAAATCAAACTTGGATCAGGGATGTAATTATGACGGCAACCACTAATCTGCTCACGAGGAAGAGCAGAACAGATTTCAACCTTTGTAGGACATTGTCTCAAATTCACTAGTTTCTCAACGTCCATATGTTCGGTAATATCAAATTCATGCATTGTACCTTCTTTATCTTGCTTGTTCAGGTAACTAAGTATGAGAGAGAGAGAGGTCATGCTAATTATTAAGGTACAAATCAGGCCAAATTTTTTTTTAAAAAAAAAAAAAACCTAACAGGTAAGTTCAGGCTATTCCTAAATTGTGTAAATTTCTAGGGATGGGTGGATTTCTGCAGCATCACAAATAAAGGATGATTTATATCATAAAGTACAAGTGTAACATTATGTAATTATTTTGGACGATTTTCTCCAAGTTTCCAAAGTGTAAGTCTGATGTTTGTATAGGTTTTTCAATTTATGAAAAATTTAAATCTGTCTCCCTCATGAAATTTTTACTCTCAAAGAGAGAGTTGTTAATTCTTTTTTTCACTTTTTTTCACAGAATTGTTCCCATTCCATTATTTTTATTTCGTAAAAATTCAAGCTGCCCCAATTTTCTACAACTATCATAGGTATTTGGATTATTAAATTTTACCTAATCCTATGCTTAACATGTCACTTAATAAAATAATGAAAAAATGAATTTATTTTACCGATACATACATAAGGATGGGTTTTCCAAAAACTTTGTCATGCCAGATCATACTCAAGAATACTTCTTTGCATTCGTTTAGACGGGCTACATCGCTTGCATCAATTATAAAAATGAAACCATGAACCTTAAAAGAAAAAAATAAGTTATTATCTTTAAAAAGTGTCATTGATTTGACAATAGGTCTCGCAAAACAGGAAATTCTGGATTGGTCAGGACTTGGAAGAAGAATAGGTACTAGAAACAATCACTTCAATTGCACAGCGCACCTTATTGAAGGGAGTCATGTCTTACAGGTACCTATCTTCATTGTAAAAAGTATTGTGCAGTGACGCAGACCACAATCAAAGCACTTGAATCACATAGCTCTGCTAATTTTTATTAGGTACTTTCTTTGAACATTGCAAAATTCGAGCAGAATAATTGAGTGTTTTTTCGTCATGACATGAGGAAGAAAATTCTGGTGAGGAATTGGAAATCAAGGCTACTCACATTGCCATAGTATTGACTCCAAATGTTGCGAATTTGTGGTCCCCCTCCAACATCATAGAGGGTTACAGAATATTTTTTGAATTTGATAGAGACGGATGAAAATCCTACCGTTGGCAAAACAGGATTTGTTAAATCTAAAGGAAAAAATAAATCAAAATTGCCTTTTAATAATGGGATTGAGACTTGAGAACAAGAATTAGTTACCTGTCATTTACCTATGTATTTCTATTGCTTGCAAATCAGTATATATTAAGCAATAATAAGCCGTTCCTTATGATACTACCATGGAAAGTTTTAAAAATATTTCAGAATTTAATAATAGGTATGTTAAAAGTGATTTACAAAATGACTTCAAAACTTTGGATGTCTTTCAATGACTTTCAACATCACTTTTAAGTCATTAAAATAAGACTTCTAGATCTGCCAAGATGGCATAAATACCACCTTGACTTATCTTCTTAAATTTTTAAAGTTGTTATTTTCTTTGCCTTACTTTGGTGCGTTAGGAAACGTCTTTGAAACATTTTATTGTTTTTAGAGTTATTTTAAAACAAATCTTTTAAGCGTCTCTCCGCTATTTGGGTAGGTAGGCACTCATTCGTTTCAAGAGGTTCACAATTTCAGTTGATACACAGCTAAGTATGAAGACAATTTTATACTAACTGCCAGAAATTCCATTTGCAATTGAAGTTTTACCAGCATTATCCAGGCCAATTAAAAGTATTGAAATGTTCCTAAAACAAACATTAATATACATTTTATGTATAAGGAAAAGAGAGAAAAAACTGGTGTTAGAAATGATGAAACTAGGTAAGATAAATAAGCCAAATACAACAGAGTCCTGTTTTTAAGGCTTGTTTTTATCTCATCTACAAATATGGAAACATTTTGGTGAGTCATCAATATGTGCCTCTGCCTTTTAATTCTGAAGTGTAGCGGATGCTGTTTGTGGACGGGTGAGTATCAAAAATTATATTTAAAAGGCCTCTTCGTACACACGTTATGTTATGATCTTGTAACTCCACAGAACGCCTTAACATGTTTTTCAGTCCTATTTCAAACAGTCACATGATTTTTAACTCCAGAGGTCAAAAGTGATTTGGGGACGTGATGAATTATTCTGGTCACTCACATAGCGCTTACGCTCAAAGTTTATTTTTTCCAAGAGTGGCTGCAATTACCAATGTCTTAAAGAGGAAGAGAAGCAAAATGTCAAGGTACAAACCTATAATCAGTTGTTCTAAATTTTCCTATTTTTAACGCCAGAAATTTTTGACAACAATTTCCCATAACAGGAAGTTGGCTTCATGTGAGAGACAGTCATTCGCACTGGAAGTCTTGAAAACGATGGGTTAAGAAACTATAATAGCACCACTCTACTTCAACAGTCACGAGGTAAAACACTAAGTTCCATTTTGTTTACATCTTGGTTGAGCTTCTCTGGACTAAGTGCTGTCGCTATGGAAACAAAGTGATCAAAACATTCACAAAAGATTCATAAGGTGAGAATTTGATTGTCAGTAGTAAATCATGAAAATGCCTTCTTTTCATTTTACACGCTGCATGCCATATATAGAGGGATACCTATGACAATTTTTATTGACTGCAAAATGAACGAGATGGAAAAAATTTGAGACACTAAAGTTTTAAACATTAACCATTTCTTTTTTACATGATTAGATCCGGGAAAATTTGGTCTAAACACACTGACATATTCGAATGACAGGCATTTATTTTAAACAGAAGAGCGTAAAAATGATGGGAAATGGCACGAATATTTGCATCTAAATTTTAAAAAAAATCGGAGTCGACTAAAAGAGAGACGCAAGAGTCTTTCACAAGCGTAAATTTGAATTTTCCCGCTTTCAGATGCAAGCGCTCTCTACACCACGTAGACACAACATCAAGCAAAACATACACACTGTTGCCAAGTAACGTAATTAATTATTTACACCAATTCGTGTCATTAACATTAAACAAGTGGGACTAGTCAATTTATGTTCAGTTCATTATTGTCGTTTACAAAATTTTACCATCGTTAAGATTCCTTTATTTTCTTTTCTTCAAACATGATGTAGGCAAGTGAATGAATGAATGCAAAGTGTCCGCGACAATCGGCTCAACCGGAACCGGCCTCCTCGAGTCAACTTCTCGGACCCAAGAGTCGGGTAAAACTTTAAAAGAAAAGATATAATTGATGCGATTCATACTGAAGATACATAAATTTATTCGAAAAGTACATCAAGAAAAATGACACCAGAGCCTTGCAGAAGTAAAAACGTGAAATTGAGCGTTACTCGACGGAAGAAATTAACAGCTTAATTTGCTGGCTGGAAAGGCAACGTTGTCAACCGATGAGATCACTTCCCGCACGACACCATCAAAACTCATCATTTTCACGAAATATGACAGTTGTCAAGTGTTTACGTTTCTAAATTTCTGTACTTTTATGCTGCTAATTTCTTATGAGAAATTGTCTAATGCATGCTATATAAATATTTTTCTGTGTTTCTGTTTTTCGGCCTTTTTAACGTATGGCGTACATTACTCATCCCTAGTTTGTTTACTCAGAATAAACGTGAATCATGACCCAACCTGGGTTGGTCTAAGTGAAGCTGTTAGATTTGACCCACAATTTTCTGAAAAATTAGGTTTATGTGTGTGTCGTGGAGACTCTGCCATCTGACATGGGTAAAACGCTATTTTCTTTGATTCTCTCTTTGTTTTAATTACCCTTTTGTTTTCAATTTTTGTTCAAAGTAGGTTAAACCCTGGGAGCATACATACCGCTAGTATTCTTTCGCGGTTGAACTATCTCGGAGAGTTAGTCCTCGTGATCCCTATGATTACACACCGGTGGTGTTACATTTTGCAACCTTTTTTGTCTCAATAGTACCTATGTCACTCCAAATTCCTCCTATCAGGTACATAATATAAGTTGCATAGTGTGGGTTGAGATCATGTCAAATTAGTTGGCAGTCTTAGAGGTGTCTCAGGAGATCTTTCGTACTGACTTGCACAATGAATCAAAATGAATGCATGAAGGTTACAGTTTTGCTGTCTTGCGCTGTAAGTTGATTAACTTATTTGTCAAGAATCATCAAACACAACGTCTAGCAGGTAGCGTGTAAGATTACTACAGGGACTTTTCCGAGAGCGCTTGAAGTTTTGGGACATAAATTTGCATAAAAACTCTGCAGCTACTTTTATCAGAACTGCATTTCTGATTTCTTGCCTAACGGCTCCTTAATTTTCCCAAAATTACGGCATTATCATTAGAATATTAGACTCTCTACATTTGAGCGCTTAAGTAGTTAAACTGGAATATACGCAGTGACTGATCGATGGTAGAACTTATCTATCCTATGTGAGATGAAAATAAAATCTTGTCCATAGAAGCTTACTCATTGTATGATAAGACACAAGCCAAGCACTGACTGCTGAAAGTGTCTGAAGCTAGGAATTTACCAAGCTTTGTAATTGAGGATTTTATGTATTGTAAGAACTGTTAAGGAACAGTTCGACAGTGTAAGTTGTAGCTGAAAATGTCCGCCTCTATGTTATTTTTTTAAAGGAGAAATTGACATCATTCCTTGAAGTTTTTGCAGAGTGTCCTTCGCACAGAGGAAAAAAATGTCGGCAATTTTAAAGAATCGCCGTTGTGTAGTTTTCCGTTTAGAAAATGAAGTATGACAGGAAGTCTGGGACGTTACAAACCGAGTTATGTGATTACCGAGTTACACCATTGAGTTGCGCTTTCATCAACCTTTTACTGTGGGCTTTACTCAAGTTTCAATCTTGCCTCGAGCTGAAAGCAACTTTTTTTTCTTTGGGTAGCAAATTTTTCCTGCAATATGAATACATTTGTTTTTATTGATTGTTGCAGTTGAAGCCATAGCTCAATTCGACTATACACCTCAAGAACCTGACGAACTCCTCCTACAAAAAGGTGATGTTATCGGAGATATTGTTTTTAAATCTGAAGGCTGGTGGGAAGGAACTTTGTTGAAAAACAAGCAACGGGGCATGTTCCCCGATAATTTTGTAAAGGTAAGTTGAAATTACTCAAGGGCCATTTCAATTCACTTCTGGATGAAAATTGCAAAGGAGACAGCAAAAAAAGAAAAAGAATCATTGTAGAAGTAATGATACTTTCTTTCAATAACTGCAGTGCCTGCCAATGCACTTAGAATAAATTAAATATTGAAGTAAAGGGGTTTTTAGAATCACTCCCCTTTTCATTTATCTTAAACTTTAATCATAAAGCATATCCGTTTTGGTTCTTTAATTTTCATTTAACCCTTTCAGTCAATCTTAAAGAACAAAAAAAAAGAAATTCTCTGGACTACGTAATCACCAATACAATTATTTCTATCCCCTCTTTCTTTTGTTCATTAGTACCTACCTAAACTTAATTTCAAGAAAATGACTTGTCAGTATGATGAATTTACAGTTTTGATAAGTGAATACTTGGTAATGTAGGCATTAAATTTGATAATGATAATAAGAAAAAACCGTTTTGGAAGTATGTGACATGTGCCTTCAGCACCTCAACTCGCCTTTCCTCAATTTTCCTATTTTACCTGTAAATTTCATCTAGTCATTAGTGTTGGCTGGATTTTGTCCCTCTTTCGATTTCAGCTTCAGTTTTGAATCTATTATCCAGCCATCACCCATAAAACTAATTACTAGACTGGCAACTGATAACTCAAATTATTATAGCCAGCCAATACATATAGTCTTGTTGTCTCACCACCTGTGACATCAGCAAGCGTATAAAAGTGTGGACTGCCTATATCTTGAGGTCCGTTTCCCCCCTTAACCCTTAGAGGTCCGTGTAGCCATTTTTCTGTTTTTCTCGGCTATTTCTAAGTGTGACCTCTTTCATTACATAAAAATTCTTGTAAAATCCAAAGTTTTAGTAGGTTCAAATCTTTTGGTCCTTTTTTTGTTCTCTTATCATTTCAATGATCTCCCACAATGCAAGTGGCTTTTGCTGTTCTGAATGCTTTTCAACTTTTAGTGCCATCAGAATATGTTTCCCTAATTCGATGCGACAAAGTAAACCAAAAATAAAATAAGTAATGCATTAATACATCTACTCCTCACAGCATGTTGCATGGTCTACAACTAAGGGATATTGATGTATTTCCTGGCCGCTTAGTATCTGCTTTTCAGGGTCCTACAGTTTTTAGATTTTCATAGACCAACACAATAATTGCCAATTTTTTTCCTTTTTTTCAGGTCATGGATGAGGAAACTTCTTCCAAGGAAGCTCATTCGAAAAAGAGTGAGTTTTGCGCTTTTCCTGCCCTGTAGCCTTTTTCCAAGAGAATTAAATGTTTTCTAAAATCTTTGGTCAATCATCTGCTGTAGCTGTAGCAGGAAGTATTTTATCATAACTTAGCACCTTTATCTTTGAATAATTGTTCTATTTTCCGATGAAAAAATGATTAGATAAGATAAGGTTTATTGTCAAAAAATCACAATTGAAAATTTTGACGAAGTCACAAATGAAGAAAAAAATGAATAAAAACACTCTTTCTTTTATATATTTTCATTTACTAATTTATTTGTTTACAATGCAATTTTTCTTATTTTTTCAGAATCAGTACGATTATGCAAGGTTCGATTCAGCTACACTCCTGCCAACAGCGATGAATTAGAATTGAAAGTAGATGACATTATTCAAATTCTCGGTGAAGTTGAGGAGGGATGGTGGAGCGGACAACTTAACAACAAGGTACGTTTTCAAATTTACAGCTTTTACCATTCATCAAATAAAAGTGTCAATTTAATGCCAAATAAAGTATGCACTAGGTATTTTTGATTAATTATGATATAATCAGTCCATCATCTAAGCCACCTCAGTCAGTTGAGCAGCATCCTGCAAAATCCTAGACAGTCCGAGTCCTATTTTAGGGCGTCACTTACAGTATTTTGGCCACATTTTTAGTGCCATCTTTCTTGCTTGTTCTAAAAAAATTTTTGAAATTTTTTTATTTTGTGTATGTATGTATGAGCCGCTTTTACGGCGCGCTAATTTTTTTATTTTTATTTTATTATTTTTTTATTTTATTTTTATTTTTTTATTTTAAAAACTTAATTCTGACTCAGCAACATCAGTATCAATAAAAATAAGAATGAAAAAATCAACATTGTGGTTATTCCTGAACTTTTATTGACAGTTAAAAAGTGTCGCTCCAAGCTGGCAATACAGGAAAAATCATATGACTCGTACTCTACATTAATCTTTTACTCTTCATTTATAAAAAAATAAAAAAAGTAAGGCTACTTTGCCATAAGTAGTAAAAGACATAATTCCAAGTGTTCACCAGATTAGATATAAGCATTGGAAACTGTAGTCCCTAGCTATCATTCATCAGACATTCATTTCATTCATTTATCACCGTGTTATCACAATCTCTGCTTTAATGGTTTTGGTGTCACTGCATTCTAGTGCTAGGAATTATTACTCATTGTTTAACGAGATTTAATGTGTCTTGTCGGGTGTTTCTTAACTTTATTACTTCTTGTCAATGGCACAGATTGGTGTGTTTCCTTCAAATTTTGTGGAGGAAATAATGAATTTGGAGCCTGTGCCTACGGAAAAGCATTTGGCCAAAGAGAAGACTTCGGAGCCTCCAAGTAAGTTAAATTTCTTTACTGCTTGCTAAGATTTATTGATGACTAGACATCCAAGACTCAGCTAGGTCTGTCATAAATAACTACTTACTAAGAAGTCTCTAAGAGCACACTTCACTTGTAAATTAATGGCAAAAGTGCAAAACCACATTTCTCTGTTTGCAACGTTGCAGACTCTTGGCCATTCTTTATTTATTCTCAAGAAAAATTATCAATTTAATTTCTGGAAAGTTTCCGTGAATTTTTTTCTTGGTCAGCAGAATATTCTGTAAAAATTTCAAGCTGTAAAGTTGGCTTGTTGCTCCTTGAAGAGATAAAATGGGAACAGAGTTTTCAAAACACTGCATTGGAGACGCAAGGGTTTTGCACTATGTTTATTGAAATTATTAACCCTTGGTCACTCGCTCCCTAAGTAACAAGCATCATGGAATTGATTAGCCATTTCAGTGGTTTTTCTTAATTTATTTTTTTCTATTTTTTTTTGTCATTGCTTTATTTTTATTTTTTAAATTCATTCAATTGCCAATTTTTTAAAATTTCAATCAACTTATTTTTTATTTTGTGATTAGTTTTATACTCTTATTTTTACTCAGGTACTCTTGATTAATGAAAATAATTGGTTTGCTGACTGAAGAAGAAAAAAAAATATGAAGGATTATTGTTTTTTCTCCTGCAATCTCATTTTGCCTCCCTAATAATGATTTATTTTTTTGTTTCCCAAAGTTGCCGATAAAAGTCCAGAAACACATTCATCATCAATCATAGTTGGTCCAAAAACTGAGCCAGATGCACCTAGCCTTCCACCGAAGCCAGGTAATAATGAGTTTTATAGATTAGTTTTCGTTTGTTGACATAAGTAAAAGGCATGAAATGCAGAAAAAGACAGTTTTTTAGTTCATGATTGATGTATTCAATTTTAATCATGACCTGGATGTAATTGTCAAAGAAGCTCACATGTTAGATTTATTTTAAAAATCCTGTCATTTCAAACATTCTTCGAAACCAGTGTTTGTAATCGGAAACCTGGCCAATTCAAAATCTCTCTAATTTGAAAAAACCCACTATCTTTTCAGTTTCAAATTAGTGACATTAGAATTTGTAAGACAAAAAGAAATAGAGCTATTTCTACACATAATAGACAACAATCACCAAGGCTAAAACTCGTGCTTTTCCAAGATGTGGAACAAGATTATTAAACAACATTTCGAAATCGAATTGGAGATGGTTAACTTTGCTGCAGTGGTATGGACAGAAAATGTACTCTTTTCTGCTCAAGGCACTTTTTCTGACTCATAATATGGAGTATTTAGTCCTTTTTGAGCCAAAATAACCTAAGATTTTGATTCCCCCTTCAAAACTGAGCAAGAATCGATATTTAACTCACAAGGGGAACTTCCCAAGCTGCCGCTTCCGATCGGGCTGAAAAAATTAGTACGAACTCTTTGGATGAATTTATTTGACCCGTATTTTTTGTTTTTTCCAATGCCCCCCAGAAACACCCCAAAAAAATTCCGGAAAGTTTTGCTTTGAGCGCTTGAGTCTATATACGCAGTATAGCAGCACCCACTTACCGTCAAGTGGTGGCTCTGCGGTAGCGGGCTCGCCCAGTGATCCGGCGGGCCCGGGTTCGATTCCCGGGCGCCGCGCCAAATTTTTACGACCAAATTTTATATTCTCACACATTTTCACATCGATTCCCATTTGATACATTAGAACTTAAAACATCAATTAATTTACAACCATCAACGATCAATAACTTCTTCAATTTGAAGTGTAGATTTTTTTTTGGGAGGGGGGGAGGGGTCACGCGCGCGATATTCTCGCCAATCACTGTACTTTCACATTAGCAGACGACCCGCTTCGCCCCCTCACATCGACATATTTCTCCCGATCACCCGTATGCGTCATGATTTTTCCCATCATTATCCAGAAAATGATAATGAAAAATTACTTCGAACATTCAAATTAAAAATGCTACAATTTTTCATTATCATTTTCTGGATAATGATGGGAAAAATCATGACTCATACGGGTGATCGGGAGAAATATGTCGATGTGAGGGGGCGGAGCGGGTCGTCTGCTAATGTGAAAGTACAGTGATTGGCGAGAATATCGCGCGCGTGACCCCTCCCCCCTCCCAAAAAAAAATCTATACTTCAAATTGAAGAAGTTATTGATCGTTGATGGTTGTAAATTAATTGATGTTTTAAGTTTTAATGTATCAAATGGGAATCGATGTGAAAATGTGTGAGAATATAAAATTCGGTCGTAAAAATTTGGCGCGGCGCCCGGGAATCGAACCCGGGCCCGCCGGATCACTGGGCGAGCGCGCTACCGCAGAGCCACCACTTGACGGTAAGTGGGTGCTGCTATACTGTGTATATAGACTCAAGCGCTCAAAGCAAAACTTTCCGGAATTTTTTTGGGGTGTTTCTGGGGGGCATTGGAAAAAACAAAAAAATACGGGTCAAATAAATTCATCCAAAGAGTTCGTACGAATTTTTTCAGCCCGATCGGAGGCGGCAGCTTGGGAAGTTCCCCTTGTCAGTTAAATATTTTATTATGAAAGGCCTCATGTTTGCAATAATTTTTACTTTGCTGTTGGGTTTCTGTAAAAACTCTCATTTGTGAGCTTCTATTTTTGCAGTGAAAGAACAGTATCAAGCCTTGTTTCCATGGGATGCCCAGAACGATGATGAGCTTACTTTGAAAAAGGGTGACATCATCACACTGGTCACCAAAGAGGTAGCCGACAAAGGATGGTGGAAGGGTGAGCTCAATGGAAAAATTGGAGTTTTCCCAGATAACTTTGTCACGCCGTATGTGGTGCCCGAGCCCAAGTCTCTAACGACCACCAAGACACCGTTGAATCAGAAAGATCCGCAACTGAAACTTGCAGTGAGCCCAAATCAAATCGCCAATGTCCGCAAGTCATTGGACAACTCTCCGAAAGCAGAGTCTCAGTCTAGTCCTCCAATCGTTAGCAAAAAGCCTCAGCTGCCCCCACCTCCACCTCCAGCTTTGAAGAAACCTCAAAGCAGTCCGTCCGCTCCCAACACCAGCAGCTCTCCAAGCGGATCCCTCTCAAAACAAAATTCCGGAAGTTCACTGAAGATGTCGCTGTCGGCGGCCGGTAGCCCGCCTCAAAGTCCCACCAAGAAGGAACGAGAAGCTCCTGCCACTGGTAATTAATTCATCCCTTTTTTCCTCACTTCAACTTGTTAATTGAGTAGGAACAGCTTAATCCCAAGAAAGGCTGCTAATATCAGAGATCCTGCTTGAAAAAACGGGGATCTTTCAAGTTAGCTAACATTATTTTCATCCGCAAAAAAGCAAAAAATTGAACCGTCGATTTGATGTTACCGCGAGACCGAGACAATAACTCAGTCTCCTTTTTAGTCTTGGTCTTGCAATTATAGCAAATCATTGACTCAATTTTTGCTTTTTTCTGGTTGAAACATGAAGGTGTAATCAACTCATAACATCCTGGTTTATTTTGTACGTGATCTATTTTATTTTCATTCTTTTTTAATGACTAGTCTGATGTGGGCATGAGAACCGTCAATGGAAGCACCAAGTTAACAGAAACAAAATACTGGTGAAGAATGTAAGAATCATGAAAGAATGACAGTAGGTAGTACACTCTTTAGGATCATGTCGTGATGATTATTTATGAAACAAACCAACAAATAGTACTAGCAGTGCTCTGAAAGTTGCAGAACTGCATTTTGTGTAATCACTGGCCCGTATGGACTGGTATGGTCTGGTTTGGCGGGTCCTGGGACTGAAGAGCTTTGGCAGTCTTTCAGTTAATTTGTGTGATTTGAACGCATTTAATAGTACGGAAGAAATCTAACGTATTAATGATCCTCTATTTACACACATTTTGTTTCTTTTCTTTTCATAAATGCATCTAATGATTCCGCGGAAGTTTAGAAAAATTCTGGAAAATATGACTTTTTCTCTGAAGAAATTTTAAACTTTAATCTGTTATGATCAGCACTAATCAGCCTATTGAAGGAGTTAAATTCTGGAATAAAGATCCTAGGCAGCCATCCATTAAAATTGGCAGATGGAATGTTTCTCAAGATTTTTAAATGGAAATATGTAGACTCTAAAAATTTTCAAAAAATGTCCTCTGAATGGTAGCAGTAAGAATTCCGTTATCACCTTTTTACTTTAGTGTATTCAATTAATAACTTGATTCTAATGAACTTTGGTAATTATACTATGATCTTTTCATCTCGCCAACATATTTGATTTCACCATCATACATTTGGCCCATTTTCAGGTTTAGTTCGTGGCTCGCGATTATCAGCAAGCGTTTCAGCCTCCAGTGTGACTTCTCCAGAATCCAAAGTGGTCTCATCACCGAAGGACCACTCAGAATCATTAAACAGCGAGTTGGCCAAGGAATCTGTCGATGGATGTTTGCCAAGTAAACTGACATCTGGATCTTATAATGTGACAAATCCACCTACAACCCCACCGGCCACCTCTCCCAACACCTCATCTAACCAGACGGTAAATTTTTTGAAAATTCATTTTCAGCGGTAATAAAGAAGTGAATGGTCTGGTGGTGGTGGGTGATGGTCAAAGTCTAAACTGTGTACTTCCATTGCAATTTTTCAAAAATCTATTATGAATTAATTTTTTTGAAGGGAAATGTAATTTGGATTTATCCTTGAATTTATCCGTGACCATTTTTCTAGAAAAACTGTTGGTCAGTTTTCTTATGAAAACTTAAAATATGAGCAGAGACTTGCAAGATAGCATACAGAGATACCAATTTTTTTTTTTTATTTTAGCCTTCAATCCTTCCGTAAATATTGAAGTTATATTTCAGTAAACATCGTTTTTGCTGAATTTGATTTCAAACTATTTACATTTTTAACTCCTCCAATGAATTAGAACCTAAGAATTCTTATCTCTGCGTTATCTTCTGAAAAAGAAAGGGTTCTATTAAATATCCAAACAGTTTCTCATCCTTCTGAACTAAGCAGTGGACAAGTTTACTTTCGAACCCAGAAACTCATCAATAGTATGTGGTGTTTTTGCGCAATTTTTAGAATACTAGCATATGGGCTCCCTTTTTGTAAGGTTTATGGATTCAGTTTGTGATCATATATGGACGTATCGACCTGATCACATATCTTGGTTTGCGATGATGCAAACTTCCTGTCATACTTATTTGTTTAAATGGGAAACTACTCAATATCAATCCTTGAAACCTTTTTTGATGTTTCTCTCTGTGCAAAGAAAACTTTGTAAAAATTTTAAGGAATGATTTTTATTGATTTGTTTTCCTTCCAAAAAATAAAATGAGTGCGATGATTTTTGAACACTGCAAAAGAGATTATTGGTCTGGTAGTTTCATCGTTAATATATCATATTATTGATAAGCACCTCTAGCTGCTCCTGTTTGTCGTATTTTGTTATGTTGGGATTCAAACAATGGCTCCCTCAGGCATTGAATATTCAGAACGAAGAGCCACATCAACAACGGATTTCTGTTGGATTCCTTAGTGTATCTCAAATGCAGATAAAGTTCTTTGGTTAATGGATACCAATTTTCATCTGGCTTTATGAATATTTTTTCTTAATTTGCCTCACTCACTTTCTTGTCTTTTCCGTGATTATTTCCAGAACTCTGAATTGACGAGGTCAAACGAAACAAATGGTGTTGATACAGATCTTGATGTGGTAAGTCGCGATGGATCTTTATACCACCCAACACTCTTCAGAGCAAAAGCTCCGAGAAAAAGGCCTCCGTCTACAATTATTCTTAAAGAAGTGAGTTTTTTTAAAATATATAAATACTTTTCATTTCCTACCTATAGTTCTTGCCACAAAAAGTAATGGGTAAAGGGTGGGGTCAATAACTGGGTCATGTTTTGTTTAATAATTGAAATGCAAGTACACTGGCTCACTAACGACCTGGGCTCCCGAAAGCCAATCGACCTTTCAACAATAGACTGAGTCGTTCATCCAGCTTGACCCTTCACAAGCCAATTTCATTGCAAGGACCCAAAAAAATCAATTTTAAATGTATGCCTTGACTAATAATTTAGATATTTATAATTCCAAAGTTAGCCTTCATTCTCAGTTCAATAATGCTCTCAGAATGAGTTGTAGTGAGATAGTATCATGCGTAGTTGATTCTATACAACAAAATATAATCAAGCTTTACAGTGTAAGGCTACTGATTTTGTCAAACTTGGAAAAATAATGTGCATAAAGTCATAAAGTAGCATTTGTTTTGTACCAACCAAATGAAATTTAATCGCCATTAAGAAATACAGCTAAAGTTATTTCCCTGTCATTATGCTTCCACGACTCAGGATGATTTGCAAGAGGACTGCTGTCAAATTGTCAATTCCGATAAAACATTGTGTACAGTTAGAGATTTTCAAGAAGAAAAAAAGTTTTTCTCCTTTTAATGTCCTATGAACTGTCTCTGTGAGCCCTGTAAAATTTACTCGTGACGTATTAAAGGCCTAATCCTCTGAAAAATGGAACAACCTCCATTTAAAATTTGTGTAAAACTGAAATGATGCAATTAACTCGACAAGTTGAATCTTAAATGTAACAACATACAAAAACTAATGCAGATATATTCATGTGTGTCCTACTTGACTAATTTTTTTTATGGTGATCCCTCTTCAGGACTTCACCCTTCCGGAGGAACTAACGAATGGAAATGGAACGACTAATAACGAAACCAATGTTGAAGTAACGGAAACATCCCCTCACCAAGCAAATAAACCACCATGGGTGGAGGAGTTAAAAATGAATCAAGCCAAAAAGAATCTTCTTCAAGGTAATCAATGAGTCAGTTAAGTCATTTTTTTTATTATGTCATTCGAAAGTAGTAAGTGACCGAAGCTTATAGTTTTTTTCCTAATTTTTTTTTTATGACTGCAAACAGAAGAAAAGTTTATTTGAAAGTGCCAAAAATTAGGGTGGCCTAAAAGGGCGTTTGAATCGCGTGCTCGTAGGTTTCGAATGTACACGTGAAGATCAATATGGTGGCGGAATGCGTAGTGGAAGAATACACGGCAGCGTCGCGTTAGCGGTGTGTTTTTGTTGGTCAATGGGAGGTTATGTAGGTTACTTTGTTTGAGATTCATATCCATCCATTGCTCTTAATTCTCTAAGCTTTTCAATCAGAATGTAGGATATGAAACATTCACACAGAACTTACTCAACCTCAAACGAGAAATCGAGATATCAACAACGGCAGCATGACCGAAGTAAGCAGGTCGGCTTCAGCGCCGCCATCTTCTCGTCTATGACGCATAGATTTGAAGATTCATGGCGGTCGGTATTAACAGTCTTTTGAGGACCCCTAAAAAGGAAGCGTTATATCTCCGCGGAGACAATTTTTTGTGAAATTCTAACTTGCGCATCGCTCTTCTCGTACTAAAAACTGTAAGATTCGACTATTTGCAAGCAAATCCCTCCCGATTTTAACTGACTCATTGTTCATCAAAAACTCGAATACTTTTGGAATTTTTGCAGGGTTGTAGAATAGTTACCTTGAGGTAAAACTTCTAGGGCTGATCAGGGATTTTTAAATTAACTCCTGACCAATCAGAGGCAGACAGTCAAGTTGACTAGCAAGGGGATGCCCGAATATGCATTCAGCCAATCAGCAAAAGTCCGCCCCCCCCTCCCCGCCTGGCCACGTCATCAGTGCCCGCCCAAAATATCATTTCAAAAGGGCCTAATTTTTGACATTTTCAAAATGGAGGCTCTTTGCCAAATAGGGTTCAAGAAAGTCTGGAAAAGTTCCTAGGAGTTTAGTGCTTAGTTCACACCATACTTTCAGAAAATGAATGTAAAAGAGAGGTTGCCACTAACCCATTATCAAATTTATTGCTTCCTGGATTCCTTTCTACAAACAACCCCCCCGGTTTTTTACCGTGAAGGTTTTTTTCCGAAATTTTTGTGCATGGAAATGATGAAAATAGCATTCTTTAGTTGAAAAATCGTTCAAAAACAACATGGAAAGCCTCTTGAAAAGGAAGTAATAGTTGACGCTGAAATTAGTTTTCTCTGTGGTTTTTAGAAAACTGCGTAAATTTTCCTGTGCACATCATATGCATCTACCCCTTTATTTTCCAAATGCATCCATAATACCTGTCTTAAATATCTGTTATCAGGGCGAACAAGAGTGATCATTGGGCCAAGCCAGACGACGTGTTCAAGTAATGAGACAGGGACGATAATGACTAGCACAACGATTATCTCATCCTCCTCAGTGCCCACAACTGTCCCTGCGATGGAGCAGACTACAACAATCACATCTGGAAAGTCCGGTTTTGTAACTACAGGGGTCGGTGTCACTTTCCGGCCGAATACAAGTGTTCAGCGACCTGTTTCTATGCAGGCATTGCCAAATGATAGTGTCAGTGTCTCGCTGAAGGAATGGAATGAACTGTATAGTAAAGTGAGTATCATTTAGATTACCAGGATTCCAATTAGCCCCATTTACTCCCTTGCCTAAAAAAATTACTTAAAATACGATGACCATTTTGGCTTCAATACTGCTTAAAAATCTAGCCTAGTACCAAAAACTCAAGAATTGACATTTTGGCACCACTACCTTGGTTTTTCAAACATTTTGGTACACGTTTCAGAAACTAAAAAATACATCAGAATCATGATACAGTAAGATTAAAATTTATCGGATCACGATTCAATGGATTTCTTGATTTAATGGGTTCTGCGATTTAATAGATTGCTTTTCAGGGCCCATAAGGGCTTTAGTTAATTCAAATTATCAGATTTCCCAATGTAACGGATTGATTTGCCAGTTCCGTGAAATCTGATAAGTGGACGTCTCACTCTAGTTTGATGAGGGGTTTTCTTTTGGCAATTCAAAATGCCACCCCTCAATATGAACTGCGGTTTAAATGTTATTTTCGTGTTTTGTCCTATCAAATCTTGATTTGCTCTCAAATATTAATTATTTTCGAGTAAAAAATAAGTTACACTGTTTTAATTAGAAAAAAAGTTGCTTCGTTTTGGGTAAAAAAGTTAATAGTTAATACTTTTTGTTTATGAAAACATTGCTAAAGGAGCCTGTGAACTTTCTTGATTTTGAGAAATGTTGGCGAGGGTAACGCATAGATGAATATCAAACTGTATACTGATAAATCATTGTAAGTAATGATTTGATAACTATGAAGCATTTCAGAAATATGCTTCCTTCTCAGTTTGAGTTTGAACAGTCATGACTGACTCAAGTTAAGATTTCTGATTCAAGTTTAGAAATGAGCAGGAGCATGATTTGGGAATACAGCAGGTAATGACAGTTGAAGTATGTCTGTTGTATTGGTACATAACCTGTTGCCTACCACACCGGTTGCATCGACCAGCACTGAAAGGTCTCGTAAGTGTCTTATTGGTCGTTTTGACTGAGATGCTGTGGCTCGCGTCGAATGCTTTTGTAAGACCGGTGACCAGTGGTTGTCAGCCATGTATATCAACAGCTGAAGCCAGAAAGCGTGAATCTCCGATTGCGCCGTCGTCAATTTTTGCTCAATTTTATTGTTTTTTAAAAAACTAACCAACAGTCTTCTTGATTTCCTTTAGTCTTTCAAGTACTCACAGAGAACTCCCTGAAGATATCTTGGTTGGGTTTTTCTAATAAAAACAAGTAGTTGGAGATTTTCAAAAATTGCAATGCAGACACGCATTTTTTAACTTGAGCCATTGATATGTTTATGGCTTATTACCAGAATGGCTCCAACGAGAGAATGCCTCTCTGAACTTTAGTTTTTTGAGGGAAAGGAAAACACCATGGTGCAGGAGGAATTCATTGTTTCCCTCACCGTAACTACACCTAAGGGTTGCCTAATTTCCTTCTGCAATTTGCAATTTTACCAGGAGAATCTTTGGCAATTCTAACCAAAAATTGCACTGATTTTCCTTCTGATATCATGCAAAAAGCAAAAAAAAATTGAATAAAAATCGCATTGCTGTATTCCTATAAAGTTTTGAATGATTTCCGTCAATTTTGCAACCTTGGAATGTAGTTACATTCCTTTGTCTGGAAGTAAAAAATAGTGTATCCAAAACACTATGGCAGTTTACTAGTCCAGAACTGCTTGAAATACCAACAAGTTAAAGTCTCTCAAAGAATACAAAACATTGCAAATTGATTTACCTCTTGTGTAATTATTTTATTTCAGATTGACCGTCTGGAACTAGCACTTATAAATCAACAAGAATCATTTAGTAAGGAAATATCAAGTTTACAGAAGCAATTAAGTGAAGAAGTTGGGCATCGGAAGAAAATGCGACAAGAAATAGATAAATTAATAGACCTCATGACACAGGTATAGTGACAATACGTTTGTGAACTCCCAGTCTTATCCAATAGATAAAGTAGCCTCGATTACTTTTCAACAGTCCCTCTGCCAGTTTTTAGGATGATTGCCGGATCTTAACTTCCTTTTTAGCGAATTAGGAGAATTTTGTGATAGAAAACTTATCTACTTTCTTTATTTTTGAAGTAGTAGATTACTCAGAAACAGCTTAAAGTTGTTTAAGGAAAATGACAAAGAGTTTTTGAAATAATGATCCTCATTGTTGCATTTAGAAGATACAAATTATACGACATAATAAATGTTTGCATATTATCCAATTCAGTTTAATTTTTGCTCAACTTTGCATCATTGCCAGAGAAAGAAAGTACAAGTCAAGAAGGGAAAAACGGGTTTGTTTCCTAAATCCAGAAATAGATCACAGACAAAAGAATTCCATTGAATGTTCGGAAAAGTGTATAAACTTGTAATGAGTTCTTAAATCCATGGTTTTTAATCGCATATCAATGGTAAAACTCCTCGATCACATGTCTCGGTTTGCAACATTGCAGATTTCCTATTATACTTCATTTTTCAAATAGAAAACGACTCAATGTCAATTCTTAAAGAACTTCCTTGATTTTTCTTCTCTGTGCGACGAAAATTCTGTGAAAACTCTAAGGAATGATGTTGATATGTTCTCGTCTAAAAAAGTGAAAGGGGGGCGGAGACTCTTAAACTTTGTAAATGAGATACTTGGTTTAGAAGTTTCACCGTTGATATTTAGAAAGACCTTGAGTTTATTGCAAGTAATCTTGGTTCATCTTTTTTTTGCATTTGTTGATTGCTTTATCCAACAAAAATACTTTTATCTCACCTGATATTGACTAGTCTCACGTTGCATTTCAACATTTTCAACCTGAAAAGGTAAAAAGAAAAAACACATAAATCAGCTCTAATTGCTGAAATTCCTCTAAAACTCGTATATGTTTTTTTAAAATAATTAAAAAAATTGAATTAATCATTTGTATTTATAGTTTGACGAGCAGTAACGTATGCATGTACTTTTGTGAAGACTTCATTTATGAAAATTACGTCGAATTTTCAATTTCAAAAAGTCTCTGAAATTTTTTTCAAAATTTATAAAAACCATACAAAGTGTTGTATTCGATATTTATAAATTATATGCCATGTTAGGCAACATTTTAGCTTTGCAATACTCATTTGCCTCTCAAGCAGCTCTTAGAGCATATGAATGCAAGGTTCTTGGTATTTCTGGTTTTTGTTGCATTTTAAGAAAGAGGGTTTTAGCCCTGGCCTATTGCCTCTCCCGAAAGGGTTATTGAAATGGTTACATTCCTGTATGTTTAAGTCCTGAATTAGCTTAAAAAAATGATTGCCTATGAATTCTAAGAAATGATAAAAAATCAAGTTTATTTTGAATTTTGCAGCAGATTGTTATTGAATATTTTTGTATATAAGCTGTCAAGAATCGTTTTATTTTTTTTTTCTTGTCCCATCATATTTTTTTAATTTTATTTTGATAATTTTCTCTATTATAGTATATGTTGATGTTTATTATTTCAATGCATATCTGTGTATTATACTCACCAGTCATAGCTTTAATTGAAACATTTATCAAGGAACAACGATATGAATGAGCTGATAATATAACTGTACCAAGTCATACAGTTCCATTTTTGTTAATGAACGTTCTTACATTTAAATCTTGTTTATGCTACTTGAATTTTGTTGGTGCAACAGTCAGTTTTCTCATCAATATTCTTACTTTTTCCGATGGAAAAGCATCCTTTTGGATGGCTGTTGGATACCATCAAATCAGGTCATGGGTCTTACCGTACTTTTAGCGTTTGTGATACTCTCATTAATGATAAAAAAAAAAAAAAATAGTATACTTCAGAAAGTTGATACAAATGCTTTGGTCTCAATCTTTAATAATTGACATTATGTTCATCTGCGTCAGGATTAATATTTGCCAAAAAAAGGAAATTAATTTGAACGTATCGTGAGCTCTTATTGTCAGAGCGCCTATGTATTTCACGCTGCCTAATTTCATCCCATGTTTTACTTATTTAAAAAAGGTTTAAATAACATAATACTTTTAAAGTCCACTTAAATTCTCAGATTCTGAAGAGAATACCTACAAAATTCTGAGTCAGAATGTTGCTTAATTTTTTGACAAAACAAGAAAGAAGCACTAAAAATGTGGCTTGAATAATGTAAGTAACCGGATGGTATAGCTACAAATTGTATATTTTCAGTCCCTCAGAGACAATCCCTTAAAATTTTAAATTTCAGAAAATGTCTTTGCTCAAATGGACAGCTGGTGAAACAAACAAAAAAAACCCTCAATGACATTCAGCTCTTCATCAGTATTTTAATCTATAGTCATAACCCAGTATTTTATTCATTTTTTCCTTTCTTTTAATTTTTTTTTATCCTCTCTTTTTAGTCTTTGTTGTGTGCATTTAAATTTTGTTTTATGTATAGATCTTTTTCTTCCTCGTTTTTAAAAAAAAAATTATAGCACTCCAAAAGTAAAACAACAAATATTTTTGAACCTCAAGTTGGTGTGTTTTCAAAGGTCAAAAATTGTTAGTTGCGGCCTGAAGTAATCAAAATTCTAGAAAATATAGAAGATCGGAAGGTTTCTATTCGGTAAATAATTTAGTTAGGCATAATGTTCACGTTCATCTCGAGTTTTAGCAAGAACCTTAATAGGAAGAATCATTTCAAGCTCAAATTTCCTATGAAGGTTTTCCTCTTCTTTTTTTTTTTACATTTCTTCTGCTCCTGTCAACCATTCATTGTTATGTGGCTTCTAAACATTCCTGAGGGCTGATTATTGAAATAAAGAAACAAAGTCGTAGACAAGAAGACAAAAGGAAAATGGAGCAATCCTATTGGTTAGAACAAGTTGTTGTCATGGGCTAAGAGGGCAATGATGGACTAACTATAGGGTGTCTTGCGGGTTGTCCATACAAGTCTATTACTCACCTCCTCTGTCCATTATAACCACTCATTTCCATCAATCCGATTGCTCAATTATCCCTCTGTCTCCTTTGTCTGTCAATTTCAATGGACAGCCTGCTGCTATTGCATTTTATCAAGTTTTTATTTTTTGTCTATAACTGACTCCTGTGATTTCCTAAAAATCTCAGATTTTTTTTAATAATTTCATTATTCACTGTTTTTAAAATTGTTTTATTGTACTGTGAGTTATTTTACAATCACTTAGATACTATCTTTGTATAGCTTACATTAAGTTCCCATGTGGCGCTAATTTTAAGCAGTTCATATACTTCAGGCATCATGAATCAAAAACCTGCTTTCATTTACATTAGAGCTTCCATCAGATAAGTTGGCGGTTGCTTGCTTTTGACCGTCGCGCATCGAAGACCAGTAATGCTTATTGAGAGTTGGCAACACTGTCCCACCTAAAATCGATATTTTTAATGGATTTAAATCGTGGAAAAATAGTGTTGCCAACTAAAAAAATCGTTACTGTTTACACCTCTGCACACTGCAGCGGCGTTGCTTACAGTCAATCCTTTATGACTATCGAACAACTGCAGCATAGTCACTCATGAACAGAAAGTAAACAACCGCCAACTTATCTGACGGGAGCTCTCACAATTTTCGTAAGAAAGAAAATCCCCTGGCAGATATTTTTATAGTGCCATAAAGTTTAGTCAGTAATTTTACTTGTACTTTTTAAAAGTGAGGAGAAACTTAAATAAATAATTTCTTTTCAACTGCATCGATTTCTTTGGTTGTCGCGCAGTTCACTTGGAAACTGATTTCCACCCATTCAACGTATAGTTGTTTCCCAATTTTATTCTACATTTTTATTTTATGTGTGTGATTTATTCTATCAACTAAGGATTGATTAATGTATGAAGGAGTAAAGACTTGAATTAGAGGGTTGTATCCTGGTTTCTAATCTCTCTAGAAAAAGAATATTTATGTCAGATGCCTTATAGATAAAGAGAATTTTCAGCTAAATTTATCGATTATAGCTACCCTGCATAGCGCATTGGCACCACTGTTGTGCAAAAGGTGCATCTTAAGATGTACCACAAGGATACGCTTATTAAAAAGAGAATAAAAATTGGAAAATAAAGCAAGAAAAGAAAGAGAAAAAATGCGTAGCATGGCAAATTGTAAGGTGGATACCTACCTCACAATTCACCAAAATCACAGACTTTCTTCGTCTTTTATATTTTTTCATATTAGTCCGATGAAAAATCATTGTGATCCCCCTGGATGATCTATTTGCCAGGTTATTTGTTTAAATCTTAGTCAGAATCGTCTATTTTTTGATATTGCATGTATGATATGTTTCTTTTATCATCCAATCAAAATTTAAGCCATTTAGACCTCTCTCTAGCTAAGACTAAGAGATGATAGTGTATACGGTCCTAACTACCAGAGTAGTAAGATTTTTATTTACGTTGGTCGGAACTTTTTGAAGAAGTTCCTTCTGGTCCATGAAGAGAATAAGTGTTGCATTAACTTTCGGCACTCCTGAGGTCTCTTGTATATTTAAAATATGAGTTCAAGCATCAATACTTGAATAAAATAAAAAAATAAAATGAAGGAAGAATAGTAAGAATAAGAATAAAATATCCTAAAGGTTATCCTAAGACGGCTTATTACTACTCCGTAAACTTGTAACAAGCCAAAGAATTTGAATAAATAAGGAATTTCAGCCTTTTTTAAACTTTATTTCAAGACACCGTATGTGTCACGGCTCCTTTTCATTATTAGCATGTTTTATTGATAAATTTCCGCCATAAGTTGTGAATACTAGTCTCCAGACAAATAAAAATAATTATATATTTATTTATTTATTTACCTAGGTTTGTATGTTAAAATGGAAAAAGTCACTGAAATAGTTGGATTTTTGGTCACTTATTCAGAATCAAAATCTATAATCAGCCAAGTGGTTTTTTCTTTAGAAAACATAATTAAAGAATAAATAAAAAAATTGGGTCCCTCAAATGTTGAAGTGAAATGGTTTTATGAACTATTTTGTGTGAAACACCGTTGATTTTCTCTTCCTCTAATATGAAAGCAAGGTTTCTAGTAATAACTTATCTCAATGGACAAGTGGAATTTTACCTTTGTTTATGAATATTAGTGAAGCATTTGACTTAGGAAAACATCTTGGCATCTTTTCTGGATCTAAATCTCAAAATTGATGTTGAAATTTAAAACAGTATACTTACTTTTTCTCAAGTTATCTTTTTCAATAATAATTTTTTGTTTATCTGAACCAACTATGTGTCAAGTATATATCATGTTGTAAAAAGTTGCTACCATACTCTTTTTTGTAAATATGTAAAACACCCAAACACTAGCATTTTCTATTGAAATCAATAAGCATTATACAAGCCCATATAGTTAACATCATGGATCATCAGATTTATATGTTTTAGTCAAGATTATTTTTATTTTTAATTGTCTTCTTTATAAATCAGCAAAAAAACGACTAAGCCAATCCTTCAAAAAAGTCAATATCAATTATACAGATGGCTAAGGAACAATGCTTACGGTGTAACTGAAAATTTTGGTAAAATTGAGTTTGTGACTTTGCTGCATCCTACTATATAAAATCCACAAGCTGATGCTTTTTTTTGAGCATTGCATTACGAAAAAGACAGTTTTTGCAAACCTCTAGTAAAATTAAGTATCATAACTCTGGGAATGGAGCCTTACGTAGGATTTCAATGATATGCCACAACAAAAATTACAAAATACAAAAGAAAAACTATCATGATTTTGATAAACTTTAAGGTAGGCGGGACCTACCTTAAATTTCACAAAACTAGAAAAACATTTCCTTTCGTATCATGTATTTTTGTATCGGCAAATCATTGCAATCCCTCGCAAGGATCCTTTTCCAGAATTATAAGTAATACTAAATTTTATTCAAGGTTCTCAAAAACTGCCTATTCATAGTGCGATGTTCAAAGCCTCTCAAGTCCTTCTCCAAATAAAGTGTTAACTTTATGTGGCCCCCCTAAGAAAGAGGCTGCTGAATGGCCAACTACAAATACGGCCGCTAACCTCAAAAATGGTGAAGTTTTTTCCTCATCCCGTAAAATCATCAGCTTACAGGTGAGAAGTGTCGTTCCTTAGTCATTGATATGTTGAATCCTGTTAAATTTGGCCCATTTGGTTGTATCATCAAGTTTTACAGTTTTATAGAGTAGGGAACATTTACAGATGCTGAAAAATTATCGACCTTCGATTTTCAATAATTAAATTATTAATTGAAAAATAGAGCTGAGCATCATAAAATGTTTTCAGACGAACATAAGGAGATTGAAATAAATGTAATTGGCAGGATTGTGATTATTTCCTCAACTCATTCTGCGGAAGTTCAGAGATGGTGCATGGTTCTTATCTATAAATATTTTAGGGATCTGATCTATGAAAGTAATTTCTTGGAGTGTTTTATTGAGATTTTACAGAGTCGCTGAGAAATGTAATGCCATTTTAGGAAGAAAAATTTCTCAGAGAACTGTAGGAGGTTACCTCTAAAACACTGTTCAATGTTGCTTCGGAAGACAGCAACATTATTTGAGTGTTTGTTTTCTTTGACTTTAACCTTTCTCCAACACGCTTATTTCGATAATAAGTATGATTTATTTTTTATAACTTTATACACTTTGCATCTTTCAAATGCTGTTTGTACTTACTAGTTCAATTTATTTTCTATTGATTTTTTTCTATATTTTTATTTCATAATTTGATTATTTTGTCATAAGCAGCAGTACCCTGTATCTCATGTTTATGTTTTTATGCAAAATCGTCATTAAATTGATTGCTCCATCCACTAGAATTGTCTCTCATCTTTGAATTCACGCCTCCCATTTATTGAAGTATTCGTGTACCAATCACTGGTCTAAAAAATCAGAAAGAGAGAGAAAAAATGGTCGATCTGCCAAAAAATGATGAACCCTTTCCCAATTAAATTTCTGCAATGATTTCGAAAATGATCTGTGTTTTCCCCAATTAGTTTGGTTTTGCCTGGTATTTTTCCTTAAAAAAAACGAAATTTCCCAGGAATGATCAGCTTTCAAACATAAAACTTTATGGGTCATTTTACTGGAGGTTAGAAACATTTGTGACTGAAGTGCTCTCGATTTTGACCCCAAAAATTTAGCCGTTGCAAACCTCATCGAAGTGTCTCTATTTTGGACAGGAAATTATTTTCCCTTTCAAAATCGAGAAAAGTCGACAGGGGTAACATGGACTTATTTTTGAGGGTGAAATTCGAAAGTTCGCCGATCGGGCTTTAACCAAGCCAATTCCATTGATAATGGCCCGAGGAGTCCGATTTTCCGGTCTGAAAAGCTCCACGAGTCCGCTGGAGCGTGCGATAGGTGAAAAACGCGCGTTTGTTGAACTTTCACCAAACGGTCAAGAACACTCGTTGTTGACCGTTTCTCGGCCCAGGAAGTCTTGCGGAGCCTCGGGACCATGCGTAAATAAATTTTCCGCCATCAACTACACAGGATTCGACACTAATCACGAAGTTTTTTTCTCCCGTCCAAAATCGAGAAAAATCGACAGGGGCACGTACCATGGACTATAACGTTTGAGGATGAAAATCGAAAGTTCGCCGATCAGGCTTAAACCAAACTAGTCCGCTTGAAAATTACCCGTCGAGTCCGATTTCATGATCTTAGAAGTTCCATTGCGCTGGTTACACGCTCAAATTTCCATCAATTTCCGATCAAATGGTGACTGGTGCGCACCATCTACCATCAAATTTCTGCGGCCTGCAAAAATTTGATGGTAGACGATGGAGCTTTGGGGCTCATCCTTCATCTGATTTCCACACAACCGTGCTTATTTCGTGCTTATTTCAATCAACACGCTGTTTTAATTAATTTTACTCATCAATCTAGATAACTATCGACCGCCATCTTGGTCATAGTCATCATTTTGATCGGAATTTGACGGGAATTTGATCGTGTAACCAGGGCATAAGAGTTCGCTGGAGTGTGCGAGCGGCGAGTAATCGCGAATCGAACCGCAAGAACCGTTAAAAATACCCGGTTCTTGGAAGAAGTCATGCGGGGAGCCCTGGAAACGCGATTAATAGATTTTTCCGCTTTTAATTTTGTAGGATTCAACACCAATCTAATTTTTTTGTCCCGTCCAAAATTGAAGAAATCGACAGGGGCACCAAGGACCAACTTTTGAGGCTCAAAATCGCAAGTTCTTTGATCGAGCTGAAACCGGAAGCTATAATACCCTTGAGATGACCCGCGAAATCCGATTAATGATGGTTCAACATGATCCACGAGTTGATTGGAACTCACAATCAGCGGATAAATCGATGTTTGCAAAAGGGTCGAAAACAGGCATAAATTGTAAAAAAAACCATCCGTTTTTCGGCTTAGGAAATACGTCTTTTTGTGAAAGTTGACCTTTGGACATTATAAAAAAAAAAACATGTCCCTTTTTGGCTATAGTGACAAAAATTATGTGAGAGGCTCTGATTCCGATACCCGGTAAGGTCCCCCCCCCCTCTTCCTTCTTTTTCAACGCAAGGCAGTAGGGTAAGTTTAACATTTTATATTCACAGTAGTTTACCTATATCACATAGTACCTAATGAGTATTTTTCTCAAATTTCCGATGCCAAACGCCTTTCAATACTCTCACAACCTGCGAGTCAAATTTTCAAGCCTTAAAGTGCATCATTAATGACTTTTCAAGTGTATAAAATAAATCGTTTTTAAAACTGGCAACAGTGTTAGCAAACTTCACACGTTCTTTCAAAATCGCGGTTTATCAACTTAAAACAGTGGAACTCACTTGAAGGGTCAAGTTTAAGGAGCGCCGTAGGCAACTATTCGTGGTCCACGGATATCCGTGTTGCATATCCCAAATAACGTAGGAGTTTTGGTTTGTCTTATCCACTACGTTGCTGCGCGTCACCCGTCGCGTTTCTGCTATTTCCCCGACATGAGGGGCACAAAGGAGCCAGCAATGGACTCAATTCCACTCCCTGCTTGTCATGTGCCTCATTTCTTAAGCAATCGGTGAGGTGTCGCTGAGAACGGTGGGATGCATTAGAGTTAATGAATAATTATCCGGAGCTCGGCTCGATGAAAATGCGTGCGTGGATTTTGGCGGAATTTCTAAGGAAAAATTACATTTTTTTTTTAAAAAACTTTCAGCACAAAATACTTTCTAATTGTTGCCCTTAAAAGATCCAGATTTTTTTTTTTTTAAATTTTAACTCTATTTGAAAGCAATTTGAGGCCTCTATGACGATTAGGCTATCAACTGAATGAACGCGGTGTTCTCATGTAAGACTCTACATTAAAAGAGATGAATATCCTTGACGAAGATTTTTTCGCACTATTTAGAATTACTG